TTTGAACAACTGAGCAAATAATGTTTGTCTGACAATAATCAAAGCAAAATCTCGGTATAAGGAATCTGATTAAACTCTTGACCACAGTGTACAGCTCTGAGTTTATATCTGTCACCATGGTTACGTGGATTTCACAGTGCAGCATTGCACACTTCCACCTGGTTGTGAACGGCTGTGCGGGCCTCACCTCTTGAGTATACTAAAACACTGCTTAAGGTTCTTCTAGTTATTCTAATAACTGATTTAGTCCTGGAGTATCTCCCACTGTGTGTTTCACAGAAATAGGAATTCACCATTGGGCATCCTTACTGCATGAAATACTTATGTTCAGCTCATTCCAAACAAAGCTTACGCAGATTGAGAATTCATATGCCAGAGGTAAATCCGAGTTAACACGGATTTATACTGGCATGAGTTAAAGGACTAGAGTTTGTAATCCAGGTGGCCAAGGGATTTTACCATACAGTGGCAAAAATCACTTAAAACTCCCCCAACATCCTGAGCCACTGAGCTCAGTAAGCAGACAGATTGTTCAGAATTGATGACAGCACAACTATATCGGAGCTGGACTCTGTGTTTGTGTGTGTGCATATATGTGTACCCGCGTGTTTGTGTGTATGTACGTATGCTTGTGTTTGTGTGTGCGCATATGTGAACATGTTTGCTTCCTATATATACTCAATTAGTACTAAAGGGGCTGTTTAGAATAAGACCTTGACAGATTGGTATTATTTTCCTTTAATAGGGTAGGGGAGGTGTATGGGGAATACTGCCTTCTATCTGCATAAACATCAGTAGCATAAATAAAAAGACAGCAACCTCAATTTCAGTAGCCACTGACTCATAAGTAAATTGATCAAAGTTGCTATAATATCCAAATAATTGATGTTTTAATAAACTTTAGCTTGATCACCCTACACAACAATACTGGGTGAAAAACAAAGGTGCGTGTGTATATTTGTAAGGGTGTGTGTGTGTGTGTGTGTGTGTGTGTGTGTGTGTGTGTGTGTGTGTGTGTGTGCGTGCGTGCGTGTGTGCGTGTGTGTGTTTGTGTGTGTGTGTGTGCGTGCGCGCACATGTGCACATGTGTGTGGAGGACAGAGGAGCAGAGATAGAGTGGAGTTGTTTAATGACAGGAACAGCTGACTCATTTAGAGAGAGCAGTGAAAGGTAATTAACCCTGGGAAAACTACAGCTGCCATGCGAGCTGTTCACTTCAGCGCAATCTGATTAGGAATCACTGCTCGAGTCCCTGACTCCTTTCAGACACTGTGTGTTCGAGGTAAACTTTTCCCTTTGCCCCGGAGAGCCCCAGAGCACTGGAGACCTGCCTTTTGTGACGGGGGATTAGCTGGAACGGTTACTACGTTTCTCCAAATTGCAGACCACCTGGTAGCATTCATGCAACCTCCTCCATGAAAGGGCCTCCTTGGGCAGGAACAATGAGCAGGATTACTCTGCTCATTGTTACACCAGGGCTGGAACTTCTTTTTCCCCAAACACCTGTCCCCAAATTAGACAGGTTTGAAAAACCATGTTCATGACAGAATTCAAAGATTCAAACTAACATGAGAGTGGTTTGGCAGGCTGGAGACTTGCCAATGGATGAATTGTCTGCTGCTCCATTTATTATGCTATTGATGCATAGTGTAGTGCAAGAAGATACTAATTTTATTTGTCTCAATATTTTGGTGTGCTTAATTGGATTGAAATTCACAAATAAAATAGCATATCATCTAGGCCCCTTTCATACGATAAGAGAACTAAAAGCACCAGAAATTTGGTCAAAAACAGAAATTGGCTCTTTGATGTCAGAAGAAACAATCTGGACTTGGTGCCTCTGTGTGGTCCGGCTCCAGATGAACTCAATTTAGAGGGAAGGCTTTGGGATGACTTTGGAAAGCGATTACAAGATTCATAAATCACCTCGGCAAAGGTGTCACCATCTGACTCTTTTATGGGACTCTTGCGAACTCCGTCCAATAACAAGTTTCCCCTGTAGTTATGCCATCATAACAAATCATTGAAGCGATAGTAGCTAGCCAGGCTCCTAATTGTCTGTTAAGAATTCTGTGAGCTGTGTTCTTTTATTGAAGCATCTCTGTCTTGGAGAAGTGATAAGATGCCAATACGCTCCTCTATAAAAGTACTCTTTGGCAAAAGGCACAAACACTTTGCTTGGCCGTCAGGGTAGCTGTGAGGCTGTTATATCTGAAATCGCAGTTGACTTCAAGATTTTTGACTGTGTCTGCGTGAATCCAGAAACCTCCATCAGACGGAGGAATGCTCATAATTTGCCGGCAGAATAATTTTCTTCCAGATACAGTATATTTTTTTCTTTAATTTGAAAGAGCATTTACATACGGAGCACATATATAAGCCCAACATTTTGAAAAAAAATGCAATTTTCTTATATATAACACAGCAAATTATCCAATGCTGTTAAATTTTAATTAACTTTCAAATTTACTTTATAGGTAACCAATAAGGAAACATCTTGAAATAGAAAAAAGGGAAAAAAAAGAAAAGAATTTGGTCCAAGTTTTAGCCATAGATTTGACATCTTAGACCTCTTTTGTCCCCTCCCCCCTCCTTAAATATACCCCAGCCATTATTCTGATGTCCAGCTGGTATTTAGGGACAGGGCGTCTGATGGCTCCCTCGCCACCTCACAAAAAAAAGGCAAGAAAGAAAAGTTGTTTATCTAAACACTCTCTGAACAGAAGCTGATTTTAATCTCTGAGCAGAGCTTAATTTACTCACCAAGGAGACATTTGCATCTCAATGAAAAATGGTAAAAGCACTCACCTGCTTTCTGTATACAGTTTTACCTGCTGTCCTCAGAATAGGTGTGAACACTTTTCAAGCAGGTATATTACTGCTAGCTCACCTTTTCCTTTCAGCTAGTCAGGCTGTGAGGGTGGCTGATTCTCTGCACACCTCAAACCTCCTATGGGGTAAATATAAATTGTGATCAGTTTGCTGTATCCTCAGACATTCATTACAAGGAAATATGAAAGTAAAAGGTGCTATCTCCTGCCGTTTGCTCTTTATTGTACATAAACAGAATACACTTAGCATGTAAAATTAATGTGAAAATTATTCCCGGGGTAAACTATAAACACAGAAGTTACCCCGCACATTTACCCTTTTTTTCTCCTTCCCCTAGATCAGAGTGTAATTGCCAGTAATCAGGTCTGTTTGCTGCTGATAAAACCACTCTGAATGCGAGGAACCCTCTTTGTGTGATGACTCAATTATGCCAGAAGTGGCTCATCAAACCTGGCCCATCAGCTGCTTTAATAAATAAGGAGGAAAACTTGCTGCAGGCGCATTATAATTCCATTCATTCCATAATTAAATCCATTCCAGTTTTAACCCTTCACTCAGTGTGCTTCTGGAAGAGGAAACAAAAACAAGGAGAGAGAGGGAGGGGGGGGGGGGAGTACACACCAGACAGTGACCTTGCACAGAGCACCCATCCGTTCCCTATAATTCAAAATGATACCGTTGAAGAAAGGTTAAGAGAAAAAGGCTCATGGAGAAAAGGATGGGAATCAGTTAAGATGCAGCCTCTGTTTTTTATGTATGCATTGTTTCCACACACAGCCTTAGACAGTAATTATATTAAAAGAGTAATCTAATCATAACAGTTGGTTGGTTGAGTGTGCAGTACTGACATTTTGAAATCTTATTTTGTGTAATCTCATTTGCCTCTATCATCTCGCCTGTACAACCTATCTAAAGGAAATAATAAAAAGTAAATAATGTAATTAATTTTATGGTCTCCAGAATCTTACTTTGCTACTCTGGCCTGGTTTATTGGTTTCAAGATGAGGTATCAGCACAGAGTTTTTCACTCCATCACAATAATGTCTGTGTTAATTACATGAGAGCATCCCAAGTGCACGGATAAGCTGGGAACAAGGGGACACAAAGACTCAAGGTCAGTGATGAATATCCACAGCAGCTGCACGGTATTAATAAGGCATTATATGAAAATAATAATAATAGCATCACTTTCAGCAAAATGCGAGAGTGTGGTTAGAATAATGTCAGGAGCGCTGGGGTGTTTTACAGATATTTCCCCTCCATCATCTCATCTTGGATCCAGCCTTTCTGATAATGGTGCGAGGCAATGGTTATTCATGATTGCTGGACTGGGAAGGTCTCTCTCTTTTTCTACCCCCAGTCGCAGCCCATTCTCTCCTCTGTGGTGGGAATGCTGGCAGATGGGGTTAGGGGGGAATGGGCTGGGCTCAAGGACACCTAGCAGCCAGATTAACACATAGAAAATCTCATAGAGCCTCAGCATCAGGCTGCCTCCTTTCCCCCTGAGAAATCTGCCCTCGACGTAGGGAAACAGTCCTCTGAGAAGCATTATTTGTGTTGGACTTGGGGTTTGTGTATGTGCGTTTATGAGGGGGGGGTGGGCGCATAAATATGATTCAGCAGATGACGAACCAGCTCAAATAGTAGTGAGTCTTTTTTCATATGCTAATGAAACTGAGTGAATACCCCTCCCTCCCTCACTCCCTCTTCTTTTTTCACCCAGTTTTGTTTTTCCGGGGAAATGCTCTGTGAGCTATAATTAAGAAGATGTTGGGTTCCTTTTTTTTTTTTTTCAAAGCTAACAGAAATAAATAATTCCATAATAAGATCTGTGAAGTGAAGAGGCTTAATGTACTCATTGTGTTCATCCTTGTTTTCCCTCTTGGATGTTTTGTATTAATTAGAAGCAAGCAATTTGATCTCTGTCAAGCAATCAATTTGCATTGTGCTCCTTATTCCATGTGAGGTATTAATATGCTCTTTCCACCTTTTTCTGACTTCATATTCTCATCCGTGTCCCCAGAATATGAAAATATAATAATTAAATACCTTCAGAAATCTGGTTTACATACATACAATTGATTTCCCATAAGCTAAAAAGTAAATAAGTTACAGGCTGTAAGATTAAAGTTGACACGTTTTTGTGTTTGGTGTATATTCTGTTATAGATAATGAATTACACGATCACCTCCTGAGAGATAAGAAGTGTGAAAGCATCAACCAGGGTGGACAGTGTGGATCTGGCATCTTATCCTACAGAGCGCTCGGAAAACTACAGTCAAAGGTAAATAATCTGATGCGGACGGGACTCAGAAAGAGCTTATAATTCTAAACACAAGGTGAAAAAATAACTTTGTGAGGGACCAAAAAAAAAATCCCTGGGGCTCAGTGATTGTGTAACAGTGTTTTGGATAAGTAGCATGCTAAGTGGTGGAGTGTCACTGCTCTTTTGACCACAGTGATCACAAACTGAGATTGGATTTTACTTATGCAGAGCTGTGGGAGGCTGGCAGATAATATAGTACTCTTTAAAAAGTGTTGCTGAGTCTGCTTTTTCTATTGTGGTCGTTGCCTTTAGATGTCAGGTTGACTCGGCTGGATTTGTACCTGAAAGAACATTCTGTGAAACCACAACAGAAAGTTTAGAGAGATATTTATTCTGTACGTTTTCCTTACATGTCCGTGAGGTCCATTACAGTACTTCAACTTTTTTAAAGCAGACATGATGCTAAGTTCATTCAAAGTCTGTGTGTTTCAAACTGAAATGAATAGAAATCAGTGACAGCCCAAGAGGATCGGAAAGTATGTTCAGAAATCTAAAACCTTGTGCTTTAGAAAATGCTCAGCAGCTGTATGAAGTGAGGATGTTTTGCAATAAAACATGCAAAAACACTCCTATCAAGCTTAAACATCGAACTCAGTGGCATTATTTCTGTGTGTAAACTTTTGTAAAAATGATCTGCCACCAAACAATTGTTTCTTAACAACATTTATTGTGAGTACGGCACAAAATTTAATGCGCACTATGACGTACCATAGCTGGGGATACAAAACTTTGATGGAAACACACATTGTTGTAACACTTACCAAGACACAACATGACATTATTTTTTGGGTAACAAAAGAAGTGAGCAAAGTAAATGATAAAGCCTTTAAATTAATTATTCTGAGGGAGTTTCTAAAAAAAATATTCTTTTATGTTTAGACTGTTATTCAGTCAGTTATTGCACAGGTTATTATCCTGGAACAGAGGCACTGATAAGTATATGTCATTTTTAATTCCACTTACTTCCACATTTATATACTATAAATTTAGGTGGTATATAAATAGTAGTATATACATAATGAAGAAATGGTTTATAGCACATGATAATATATGTAGTTGTAAGTAGATATAAGGATATGCGTGTTAATGTGAATGTACAGTATTTGTCAAAAATTATAACTTATGAATATTTTATATTATTACAGTGGTGTTTTTCTATATTGTCGTTTATTATCTGTTTATACAACAGCCTTCACTTATGGCTGCCCACAGGAGGAGTTATAGTTGCTGTCAAACACATTGCTAAACGCTCATATCTGCTTACAACTATATTATCATTTGTTATGGACCATTGATTAAATGTTTATACTGCTTGAATATGCTAAATTCAGGGTGTTGAAGTAAAATGTGCCCATTCCATTTTCAAATATCCATGACCAAAGGCTGCTTTTCATCAATCTATGACATATAGCACTCTATCTGAAAAATGTATGATCCCCTGACAAAAAGACTTGCCATACAATAGTAATAAAAAGGTAAATTATATATGTACGTTCTCAGCCAGATCATGCAGGGAGTGTTAAAACAAAATCTCCCGTTTCACCCTGAATGTATCTATTTGTTCTGCTTTTGTAAACACTCAGCGTCACATGTTTGTCCATGTTGTTGCCATGCCAGAACTACCTGTTAGTACACCACAGCATCTATCAAGTCTTCCCTTCCCGTCTTGTTACATGTCGCTCCTTCTTATGTGTAATAGATATAAGCTCAAACTCGCTGATAAACATAGGTTTTGTAATTATGATGTCAGAAATACACGTGACACCCTTTAAGCAACGATAAAAAAAAAAAAAGGGTTTCATTTTTTTGTCAGACTAAAACTTATATAATGTGTGAAAGTGGATACTGTAAGCAGTGTACTGTAGAGAGAAAGAAAATGGAGCCATAGTAAGATATATAATGCAGCCTGAAACCCATTGAAACTAATTGTTTTTCAGTGGTTGGACAGAACTGCAACACATTTCTAGGTGATTCTTATAGCATTGACTTTTTAAAAAAAAATTAAACTGACATTAGAAATCTGTTATTATTACACTAATTATTACACTAATATTGATTAACCAGAGAAACTCTGAATTGTATAAAGAAGTACAACATGGCAGGTCTAAAATGTCACATAAAGAAAAAAAAAAAACACCTTGGTAATAAACATGTATGACTCAGTGGTGATATTTAGGTTCACTGATAACATCATTTGAACTTTGATTAATGTCCACGTTACAGATTGCAGTGTGTAAGAGCAACATTTTTCCTTCAGAACAACAAATTTATACAAAACATTGAAACATGTCTGTGTGGAAAAGTGTTACAAACTAATGAGGTACATTCGTTTTTACAGAATGTAATCTATAGTGTTTGGGAGTTGTTTGTCTCAATAGGCTGTAGTAATCAAAAGTAATGAACCTATTATGAGCAGGACCTCTGAGGGCCCGGCGTGGCATTAAGAGTGTGGCACATAAAAGGTTTATTAAAGGAAATTAAGGTCCATCACTGCCACACCTGCTCCCCTATTATAAATGTATGACAGGTCAGTGCCTTCAATCACAACAGCAAACGAGAGAGAGGAGTCATGTTTCCCATTACCAGGGAAAAGTAACAGCATATCCTATGACTCACAGATTTCACTGGCCTGTGACCACTATACGCCACCATCAGCCTGGAATAATTATGTTTAATAGGTTTTATTTGGGACCCACAAGCAACAGCCAGAGAGAGTGGATGGATTTTAGCAACTATTTTTGTCTAAACACACACAGTGAGGTGCTGTCCGTACTTTAATGTCATTATTTAGTGTCATTACATTTTTACTCACCTTTGAAACTTTCCTCCCCTGACATTATGCTCCATGTGTTTGCATATTACTGGTGTTTTAGGAGCTCTTTGTGATGTTGTTGTGCACACAAATTGATTTTAAGGCTCACTGGCTCTGGGTGACTGACAAAAATCAACAATAATCTATGAAGTATTTGAACCTTTTTTTCCATTTCAAATAAAAGAAATTAATGAAAATAGATAAATACACGAAAAAAGCTGTCATCTACTGGCTTTTCTTTACATCCTATGTTTTATTTACAGATGGATTCTGAAGGTGAGGAGCAAACCCTGAAACCATGTAACAGTAGCACAGGTGAGTAAAGCTTTTAGTTTTAGTTTGCTTTTAACTACACACACACATGCATGCACACACACACATATTCCACTTATCGCCATGGGTTAGGGGTATCAGTTCAACAATCCAACTTTATAACTGTCAATTTTATGTATTATCTTACCGGTCTGAAGAGCACTGCACTGCCATTTCATTATTCAGAGGGGAATAACTTCATTAAATTGGAACAGTGGCTCAAATTAGTTAAGGAGTGTATATATATTGTGTGATTGAAAACCTCTAGACTGGATATGTCATTATGCAAGTGTTCAGGGCCTCCGAGGCCTGCCTGCTCACACTGGAGCTATTACTACATCTAGGGAAATTCATGAAAAGTGTTATTATTGGTTGTGCTTCATGGGAGTATGGGTAGAACTTGTGAATGAGATTGACGCAGGCCTCTGGGAAAATTGATTTACCCTTTTAGATCATGTTGTCGTCGCTGTCAAAGGATGAGCTACTGTTGGTCTCCCGGAGAATGAGCCACACTGAATGAAAAGCTTTTCAGATCAATGAAGAGACCACTTCTCCATCCTTATGCTGATTATACCCGATGGCATTGTAAAAGAGAATAAAATCTATGGTGAAAGGCTGGATAAAGCAGTATTAGCCCTTGTGGTGTCATCCCTAAAACATTATCTGTAAAACAAATATTTACAGAGCGTTGTAAAATTTCATTAGCGATAGTCCAAAAGTAGTGAGTCGCCTTGAACCTTTGATGAAGATTATGTCGACAGATGCTGTGCTGCTGTAGTGGAAATGTAAACATGACTTTTTATCTGTTCTTTCTTGGCCTTTATTTCACAGGGCTGGCCGACTGCATCACTGAGACGCACAGGTACAATTTTATGATGTGAACACTTTGAATTTTTCTCACCTTTTTCATCTTTAAGCCAGACGGGAAGTATTCATTTCCCAGATCAAACATGTGATTCTTTCTGAGGGTTTTCACTTGATGATGTATTAAAAAAAAGTCTCAAATTTTAGTAGTTGGACCTTTAAAACAAGCCAGCCGAAGCCTCTGTTGACCCTGCTGCGCTTTTTGTCCGTTCCCCTCGTCCCTCCAGCCCATATGGGTCCATGGCGAGGAAGAGGAGTGCTCAGGAAGGGGTGCAGGGCGCCCCCGTCAACAAGAGAAAGTCCCTGCTGATGAAGCCCCGCCACTACAGCCCCAGCGAGGCATGTGAAGAGGAGAGCGAGGACCTGGCACCGCCACAGGACAAAGAAGAGCTGAGGAACATTGACACTCCAGCAGGTAAACAGATGTCCTGTTGTTTTGTCTGTTTTGATGAACAATTGACGCTGAATTTTAAAATCCCATCTGTTGCATTCATATTTCCCTCCCTCTGCCATCAGCCAGCAGCCGCAGTCATTGTGCAGTGGAAGTGAAAGACTACACTGCTGGGTCCACATTAGTTGTGTCTCACGTCCACAAATTGAAGTTTTGACAGCTGATCTGCCATGATATTTTTGGCGTGGCTTTACCCTCTTTTGATGAGGCCAGATTTCAGACCCCTCATCTGTCCTTTTTCAATAGCCAGTCCAAACTCATTGAATCCATAGAATGAAAAACTGAATGGGGGTGTTCACCAGTTCACTTTGATTTTGAAATTAAACTTCTGCCATTCCTTTATATTGAATTTTTATTGAAGTTGCCTATTTTGAAAATCAAATGAGTTGTCAACATTATTTGGCTGATGTTCTAATATTTAAGTGTTTTATTTTTATTTATTTAATTTCAAAGATTTTACTCAACAACAGGCGAATTTAATCAACAACAGTTAAAAAATGTTTATTTTCACTTATTCCACTGTCCTTTTCAGGAGCGAAAATGTTTTCTTTTTTCCTAATGAATTGAATTTTGTGCATTTTGGCAACAATGCTCGTGGTGTACATGTGCATTCTCGCCCACTATAATCTGCACTGATTTGGTATATTTTTAACGATGTAACTAAGCAACAAACGTAATTGTCCCTTTCAAAAGCTTTTGTTAGGCCCTCTAACACAGTCTAATACATAATTAGGCATAATGTCTACAGCTCATTATAGTACACATGTGTGTAGTTAAATGGACCAGGAGAGTAGCTCACTGAATTGTGTGGATTCATTGGAAATGGAATTTATTTGTTTCCTGGGTTCATATTACATTACAATTATCTAAGTAATTCACTGTGTATCATCAGTTCTTCCTTTTGTTGCTGTGAATTCTAGATACATTTTCTTTTTATCATCAGGCATTGATTGACTGCTGTATATTTTCCCTATTTGAACCTGATATTCAGTGGCCTATGGCTTTGAAACAAAACAAAATCCGTCCAGAATAAAAAAAAAGTCTATTGACGTGTCAAATGAATACGGCTAGCGATAAACATATTTTGCTGTTATCAGATTTTGGGACTATTTTCTGTAGGAAAACAAAAAATGGAAAAAGTGTACTGGAGGCAGCAAGAATTTCTGCAGTGGGAAGCTGGTCATATCTGCATTTTAACAAAAAGGGAGAAAAATAAGCCTCTCGTTTGGTCGAGCCACACTGTGTTCAACTGTAGCCAACTGCAGCCCTGCTGCAGAGTGCTGGTAATGGCTATTCTGGAGTACAAACTGTTCACCTGTTCCAACACACAAACCACTGGAGGGATCCAAGTTTTTTTCCTCCATCTCTTTCCTTTTTTCACTGCACTTATGTGTGTGTCTTTGTCTGTGTGTGTATACGTCTGTGTGCTTGTCTGACTGTATGCGGCTGTGTCAGGCCAGAGAGTCCATCTGGATGAAAAACAAAACCCTTGTTGCTTGCCTCATAAATGTAAATACGTGTAACTGGCTTTAATTTTTCATTCAACAGGGTTTGTCTTTAGACGCCTCTTTTCAAATATTTTTCACAGCAGGGAACACATAGTAACACATTGTAATGTTGCCCGAGCACAATGCGTATGAAACCAGGCATGTCAAATTCCTCTGCAAACAATAATGTACAAACTCATATGTCACAAAAGCAGTTACCTCTTTTATTAGTGCTTGATAATTTGTGTCATATTTTAAAGCTCATTCGGTGAGGATTAAATTTTTGTGGTGGCTGTCTGATAAAGCCTATATCTGTATCATCCTCAGCACTGTGTGATCTGATTCTAACAATCCATCTCTATCTATCTTCTCAACCTCTCGAATCCTACTTTTGCAGCGGTCTCTGATGTCTGGCCACTTAAGAGGATATACAGTCCAGCCTGCTGAAAGTAAAAACCTTCACAGTCCAAAGAGCCTTAGTCGAGCATAAGTTTGACTGGTTTTGGAGGATCAAGAGAGATTTTGTTGAATCAATCCAGATGACAGCTTTCCATTGTTAATCACTGACCATGACTTAATATTATCAGTGGTGTTAATAAAGTGTTGTCTCAGATGCATTTTGAAAGATAAAGCTAACCCTCTCTGTCTGTTCCACTGATCAGACGTTCAGTGCGTAAGGCTTCACTCAGTCTTGTGGCTCTCTGCACATGTGACCGGGATTTCTGGATTTATTCTAAAATATGGCGGACCAGAGGTCAATGCTAATTAAATTATTGAGAGCACTCAGCAAAATAAGCTGGAGAAAAGAGATTATACAAAATGAGTGTAAAATTTAAGAAGAAATGCATATATATTAAATTAATCTGGAATAATGGCACTACATATATCATATATGGTATCTTATCACACCCACAAGGATTTAAAAAAGAAAAGTCAAAACCTAAAAATGATGGAATTAATTTTCTATTAAAAAAAAAAATAGTAAATTATTGGAAAAGCTCTTCTAACTTTATAATTTGGAATAACTTTTTATTAAATAATCAATCTATTTGCCTTACTGTAGGTTTTTAATATTTTTACTTAGATACTTATTAGATAATAAGATATGTTAACCAGGAAATGTTGACATATTTTACCTCACCAAGGCCCACAGAAAAGATACAAATGTATGATTTCAACATTAAAAAACAGCTGTTTTAATTGAAGTAACTGGTCCAGTCAACTTTACTCATAATAACTTGAAATTTGCTATTTAAATTAAATAAATACATTTTTTCTATTTTTCTATAATTAGCTTTTTCTCATGATTTTTAAAAAAATCCAACCAAAATTTATCTTATTTGTATTTTTGCAGTTGCCTTGTGTCATGTTCACTAGGCAGGCCTCTCGTTCCTGTTGTAACTTCTCAATGTTGTGCCTTTAACACTTTTATCCAACAAAATTATTGTCAGTTTTTTGACTGAGGTTGGCTGGCTTCTCCTAAACCAAGTCCTGCCACACAGACAGCAGCAGCTCACAGAAATTCCTCTCTTTTATCTCCGTGTTTGTGGTTTCTGCCATCTGTGTTTTCAGGAATCCTCTTCACTTTCCTTGTTCTCATCCTTAGAAACAACAATTTTGCGTTTTTAAAATCATTTTTTGTGTGCAGATGACAACATGTTGCTGCTTAGCTTGCACTTAAAAATACACATTACTAATTAAAAACTGATGTTCACTGTCCAACGCACTGTAAATCCTTCCATAATCTTGTCCTAAATCTATTTTGGGTTGTTTCTCCAATTGGAGACACAGAGGAAGAAGAAAACAATTGTGTTCTTCATCTCCAGCTTTCATGTTCAACTAGCAGAAAGAAGGGTCATACTGTATATGTTTTCTAAAATATACTTTAAGAATTGCATGGAAATCTTGCAACCTTCTGATTATCATTTCCATTGCGACATGTGTTCTTATAAATCCTCTAGATGTTAATAAAAACATGTTTTTATGAAGATATTATTCATTGAGAAGTAATACAAAATCTAAAACCTTGAAAGGATTTGGAGAAGATTACCAAGGACATACAAGTCTTATCCTGTGTGACTGAGGGGTCAAAAAAAGAAGAACATATGTGGCCTTAAAACACTTGAAAACACAGAGAATAATACGTGTTTTCTTGTTGTTTCAGATGGAAACTTAAATACAGTCAACGGAGTGACCAACAGAAATGGCTGCCACGATGCAGCAGCAAAGTCCAACGATTCGCTGGGATGGTCAGAAGTGACCTCTGATGGCTCTCCACAGCGTGAGCCAGACACATCTGAACCTCTGATGGATGAAGATGAGGATGAGCTCCTTAAGAACGAAGAAGACCAAAGTCAAGAGAGGATGAGCGGTACGTCATCGCCACAGAGTCCATACGGAGACATGAGGGAAGCTGAGTGGGAGCCTCTGTCTCTGTCTGCCAAGGTGAACAGCTCGGGCTGCAGTCCCTCCAGAGCCTCTGAAGACCTTTCAGGCAGGAACGGCCACGTTAAAGAAGAGCCTCACTCGGAACTAGGTGGTCCAATGGGTAGAGCAAGTATTTTTCATGCCGAGGCTTTAAGATACAGGCCGCCACCTACGGAGGAGGACAGCGAGGGGGAGACGGAGGTGGAGAGGCCACCTCGGCTTGACGGCTGGGCGCTGGGCCTCCATGAGAGGGGCCTTGAAATGAGCCGAGGGAGGGTTAACTTCAGCCTGTTGGAGCAGGCCATAGCTTTGCAGACAGAGCAAAGACAGGTCCTACACCATGCCTACAGGGAAATGGACCGGTTCCTCATGGAGCAGATGACCAATGAGAGGAGGCACCATAGGATGATGGACATGGACACCAGACTCAACTATCATGGAGGAAAAGGTAACAATAAAGAGGAAAAGATCTGTGATGCAAGTCTTAAGAAAAAAAAGTGATCAGTATGGGAACAAACAGTTTTCACAGTTGTACCTTCATCCAGTGTAAATCAGTTCGACCACTTGTGATTTGGATGATTGGGTGCTCAAAAAAAAAACATCAAAAAGAATAAAAGAAGCATACGCAGGGTGGTGGTGGGGGGGATCAGAGGGAGGAAATCCTCTTAAATACTAAAAACATTTTGGCAACAAGTGAAGTAATAAATAAACAGACTAAAATAAAGAAGAACAAAATTTTCTAATGGAATTGCTACTACTCAGAATATTGGATTTTGATAGGAATCAACTGGATATTTAACCATGACCATAAGTCTTAAATCCTCCTAAAGTGCCTCTCATGTTTCCCTCTGATTCTTCAAATGACTGCGGCTAAATGTGTAATCCTAGATGTAATCTTTCGATGGATGGGCATTAAGAAGTGACTGCTCTGTGTTGAACTGCAGCCTTAACTAAAATGACAGATTAATAGATGCATTTTGTGAAAAAAGTGTCTAGCTTTGCATGATATTTCAATCTGTTGACCTATGTACAATAATTATACAGGACAAGTGCATTATATGTATATTTCATTTATTTACACATTTCTTGACAGAACACATAAAGACAGAAAAGCTTTAGCATGTCACGGAATCAGCACAGTGGTTGTATTGTATTTTTTTTTTTATTGTGAAATATTATCTTTTCTGTGTCTACAGATTCCCCACGGACAGATAAAAAGGATATAAAGTGTCCCACCCCTGGCTGTGATGGCACTGGTCATGTGACCGGCTTGTACCCACATCACAGGAGTTTGTCTGGGTGTCCTCATAAAGTCCGAGTTCCTCCTGAGAGTAAGTTGCACAAGCAGTTCTGTGTATACATTCAGTATAATGGATGATTTCTACTCATAAAAACTGCCAGTTTTAGGATTTACAATCAGCCGCAGTAATTGAAATCCTCTTAGCACAAGCCCAAAGACAAGAAAGACCTGCTTATATGTTTAGTTCAATTCAAAGATGTGCATGAAACTTTTCAAATAAACTTAAAGGATTTTTTTTCCCTCTCTCTTTCTCGTAATGTGTTGTAATGTGTGAATATTGAATTCTTTTTTTTTTTTTTTTTTTTTCCCACATTGGCGATTGTTAAGTCATTTCAATATAACTCAACAAACATTCAACATTAAACAGTAATGTTACAAAAGGAACAGAAAAAGTAATTAACTTTTTCAAAAAAGCGTGTGCTCTTAGACTGGAGGCAGTATTTGCAAATCAAAGGGCTAGCTAACGCAGTATTCAAAAATAAATAGACAACTCCAACAAACTAATTGGAGAATATGTACAGAAAAGAAGTTTCTAAGGATACAGAGCGGACCTTTAACAACGCGTTTGTTTTGAAGAATATAATCAGCTGTCTTGTTACGCTCCTCTTTGCACTAAGCTATTTACATTTCAGCGACATTACAGCATTCCTCACAAGGAGAAAGCCTTTTGCTTTTTTCTCCTATTTCTGTCTCTGTAGGATCTTTGCTCTATAGGCTCTAATGTACCAGCCAGTTACATAAACCAACGTTTAATGTATGAAAATGTATTTGTTTTACTTCCAAAATGCTCAGTAAATATATATTTATTTACCATCTTATAATCTTTTCAGCTTCGTTCTTCGTTATCTCACATGTTGAATTATTCTGGACATGTTTCTCTTACCATACTTATCTCCTCTCCCCTCAGTCCTGGCCATGCATGAGAACGTCCTCAAGTGCCCTACACCCGGGTGCACAGGAAGAGGCCATGTCAACAGTAACCGTAGCACCCACCGGAGGTACATCCACAGGAGAAAGCCATTAGAAAATCTGTACCCTGTTCATAGATGAGTTACAGTATTAGGCTAATGTGTTTGATTTCCTCCCCATCCAGTCTCTCAGGCTGCCCCATCGCTGCTGCAGTGAAAGTCTCCAAACCTCAGGACGACAGCCTGAAATGCAGACAAACACCTGACCGCTCACCGAGGTATAATGCCAGATAACGCTCGGGATTTTCACTGCTCTCAATGTGGTCACATGTGCAGAAAAATAATTACAACAAGCACCCAGAAATCATATTCAGCTCTGTAGTGGACTGAAGTTGTAAAAGCCTAACTGAGGTTATGCAAAAAAGTGATAAACACTATTATTGTTGAGGAGAGTGTGTGGGATATTTTTATTCAGTGATCCCAGCAGAACGCACAGTCTATTTTCAGCTTTCCAAGCAGACATAAGCAATGGTTGCTGGTCCTGTGAGTTCCTCTCTATTAGAAATGATAAAAGAGCAGAACTCTTTGTTCCCTGTGGATATATCATGGGCAGGATGCCCACTCCTACTATATTAATTAGTCTGGCAACCTGGCTGTGGATCTACAACACACATCAGATCCCAGACTCTATGTGTGCAAAAGCACTGGCGTCCCTGAATGGTTTAAAACAATGTCTATACTTAACTGCTTAATATGAACTTGTGAGGCATCTTATTTTTACAAGTTTTACACAATTAAATAAAGTCTTTTTTCTTTTTTAATTTGTCTCTTTGTAGAGCCATCGGCTTGATAAAAAAGTTCGAGCTGAACCAGCTGAACTACAGGCTCTCTCATCCAGTAGCAGCCTTGCAAACAAGCCTCACAAAAGACATGGACAAGTACAGCAGAATCCGCTTTGATTACGCCAGCTTTGATGCACAGGTCTTCGGCAAACAGCCTCTGATGGGGACCAACCATGACCAGGAAATGTCACATTTCCCCGATTGTAAGCCTCATATATTTTATTTAACCAAAGAAAACAGTTATTTGTTAGTTAACATGTTAAGGAAGATGAATAAATGTTGCAAACTACTTTTTGTCATGTGTTTTAAGTGTGTAGATGTTGTTTCAGCTGCTGCTAAATTAATAATAATCTATTTGCATACATCATATTTATGTGTGTATATTTATGTGTCATTATCTAAATTTTTGTATCACTGGTTGTTGCTAAAACTGTCAAATATGAACTTACAACTTGCGCTCTTATTAAGTTTAGGTGGAACACCTGGTGTCTCAGTAACAAACTTATTCGCTAATTATTTGTTTTTTAGCACCTCAGCAGTATCCTGGCTTCCTTGGTGCTCCAGGTGGCCGCCTGCCCACCCCTGGTCAGCACAGCCCGCCGAGTCAATTCAAAAAAGAGGATGGTCTCCAAGCCTCAGCAGCGACCGCCGCCATCCTTAACCTCTCCACTCGCTACCGGAAGAACATGGAGGCTGTCGCCGGCCGGCCCTTGGCAACCTCCACAAAGGTAATCAAATTAGACCACTTGGAAAGGTATTTAATGTGGTCATTTTAAAGGAACTCTGATTTGTGTATAAAAAGGGAAGACATCAAAAGACAGATTTTGGCAAAGGGAGCCTGGCACTCTGGTGGCAGAAAAACAAGGAGGTTTCCACTTCATAAAGCTTTAATGTACACAAATGAAAATTTGTGTAATCACATCAAAAGAAGAAATACAATCAGCCTTCCTTCCCAATTACAAATACTTGTCTATTTTTTTGTAAAACATGTGGTATTGTATTTAGTTTCGACATCAGCTGGCATGTAAAAACCCTGAACTGTTGTCTGAAAATGCATCTTGCCCACTGCAGATGGCAGAGGATATTTTGCTTAGTTATATGATCCAGCATAGGCTGTTTGTCTACACCAGATAGTCTTTAAAAGCATTTTAATGGATTAAGCCAATCAGCTAAAGGAGTTAACATCTGAAAAGTTTAATTCACACAAAATCCAAACTCTTCTTGGAAATGTGCACAGATCCAAAATCTCTTCAGCTGTCTTTATCTGCAACCCGGCATTGTGTTCAACTTTTTCCAAACTCACTTCATGATTAATATTGATCACATTCTGTGGGTTACATACGTGCACACTGTACTGTAGATGATTCAAGGTTTCCACACCTACACAGCACAGATCCTTGTCTCCCAGCTTGTTGAGCTGAGAATGTGGCCCTGTACCAGGTACCAGCCCACTGAATGAATAAAACAGTGTTAGCAAGTTAATCATCTGTTCTCATTTACAGCTTAGTTTCCTTGGAGAGACGTACAAAATAAAGAACAGCTTTCAAGTCTGAAAAAAAGGGGCCATATTTAGAGTGTTATATGGTGTTGGATGCTTTAACTTATCTGCATATGTATATTACACGTTGAAATATCACACACAAAAAAAGCACCAAAAAGCTGGCCTTTAAAGCGTGAAAGCAAGCTGATTTTACATACTTAACAGTGCAAAAAAGCTTAAATTACATCATTAATTAATCAATAATAGCAAAAAAAACAACAAAATCCTTAGTTTTAGCTTTTAATCAGAGCCAGAAACAAAATAAAAATCAAAGTAAATCACAAAAAGTCTTGCAGGTCCTATAGTTTTACACTGGTGTTATTTTGATTAGGTACACACATCATCAAATGGCTGAATAATTAAAGTGGACAGCCAAATCCAATGTTCATGAAAATTATCCCCTTTAATTAATTTGAAAGGTTCCCCTCTGTTATGAAAAATAATGATGTATAGGCTTTAATGAAACATATGCGTTGAATAATTGGTTCCATTTATGGAAAAGGATTTCAGCATTTAATGAGGTAAACTTTTAATACCATAAAACAGCCATAAGTCATCATGCTACTGCGTTTCAGCGCAAAAACGACAAACACATCTGTCAGCGGGGAAACTTATGCCACATTAAGCTTTTTTAATTTTTGCTATAATAATGATGACCTAAAACCAGCCCCCACCCCCCCAACCCCCCAGCTGCCATCTTGGTTGTGTGTCCTAGAAAACAGATGACACAGCTGTCACTGAAAAACTACACACCAGTGATTATTTTTTTTTGTGTTCAGCAGAATTAACGCTGGCTTAGTTTGGTACTTTGTCTAGTGTGAGATAACCACTGTATGTATTATTTGTTTGCTCTGAACTCTACTCTAAAGTAATTTTTCATGTTTACAGTGAAATGTTGTTGGATTCAAGTTTACCATACTGTTGGCGTCATATTAATGTTAGTTGTGTTTTATTTACATTCCTTTTAGAATAATTAGAAAACATCTTCTATTTTTATCCTCTGATTCATTTGTTTTCATATGTTGGCACGCACTGCAATGATATTACTTTATCTACTGTGCTCTTCCGCAACATGTTGTGACATGTATTACTTGATTAAAGAATTAAACTTCTTGCCTTTAGGACATGCTTATAGAAGTGGATGAAAATGGCACCTTGGACTTGAGCATGAAGAAATGTAAGGAAAATGTGAAAGCCCAGACGAAGGCACCTTCAGACGACCCGCTGTCTCCTCTCGAGTCCACTGTGGCCAAAGGCGGGAGCGTGCTCATCAGCCCCGCCTTCTACCAGCCGCTGTGTGAGAGAGACAGCTGGGAGAGCCCCATCCCTGTCAACTTCAGCAAAGCACATGTTTTACAGGACAAAGAGGTAAAAAAAAAAAAAAAAAAAACACAACAACTGACACCTTTAATGTAATGTAATCTAAAAATGTAAGATTATATTAAACACATGAGAAATGTAAATGGTGCAGGGTGAGAATTTGAGAGTCTGTGGAGTGTCACCAAACCAAAGACATTTCAGTTACACAAAGTGCATAAATAACACAGAGACTGAGGAGCACAGTAATAGACCAAAAGTAAAAGATTAAGATACAAGATTCCTGGTCAACAGGGAGTACTGACGTCTTGAGTTGAAGTCCCCCAACACCCAGCCTCTTTAAGATTCTCTAAAACGTTTACACCATTTGGAGTTTTCATATTCTGATTATTCGGTTTGCTGCGCAAATAGATTTTCTGCACAATAAACTCAACACATCAAACTAAACTGTAACTAAAATCTCAGAACTCTCTATTTGTCCTATAATCATTATCTGATTACATTGTTCTTTCCAGGAACCCAAATAGGGTTTTTAGGAATTTACTGACCTGCAATGAAGCGTTACCTTTTCATTTCCCAACCTCAAATTGTAAATGTTTCAAAGCCTTCTCCACACTGACAAGAATTAAAATATGGCAGAGAATTAATTAATTCTCTTTTATTTATTCACTTTGTGGGCCAAAGAGGTGGTCAAATGTAGTCTAAAAATAGCCACAGTGTCAAATTTGGTCTAAAAATACTTGAATCACACTAAAAAAGTTTCGTAACTGTAAAATCCCCCAGCTTGCTAAAATCTTAATATTTCCAGCATGAAATACAGATGCCATCAATGTAAGCAACGACCTGCTGGTAAACAAAGCAGCAGCTCCGGTCAGATCTGTGCAACTATGAAATGTATTAAATATACACTGAGGACTATAGTGCTAATCTAGTCTCCACATATCACCCTTGCCCAGGGGCCTGAATGAAGCTTAATCTGGGCTTCAAAGGTTTTCTTTTCATTACTTCACAGGTGGTATTCATTTGTAGTTGATATCAAGAGTTATCACATTTGACCTGCTTTTAAATCATACACAACATCTGGTGACTGCACAGTATTGTCTGTGTGAAAAAAAAAAAAAAAGGAAATCCATATGTCATGGCCATACATCATAAAAACTATTTGGATTAAGTATGCCTTTAAATGGATGTATGGTTTACTACAGTTTAAGTATTCTTAAGCATAATCTCTTTGCCTTGCACTCCAACCCCCAGGGCTTGTGTTTTAAGAGTATTATACAGGGCTTTTCATTAATTATTCACTTTTAGGTCATTGCAGATTGTGTTCAGGTTCAATATTTTGGACAGCTAAGGCCATGTTTTTATCTTTTCTTTCTCAGCAGGAGGATTACGATCAGGTCTCCTTGGAGGACCAGCACTATCAAGGAGACGGCAGCATGATAAGCCCCAAAACCAAGCTGCTATTACGAGATTCAAAGAAAGAGCTTTTGAGGTACGTCACGTTAAAGACTGAAACATCTCGAGGCATCTTTATTCAGCCAGCTGTGCATAATGTGAGCTTCCCGTTTAGTTGGCAGATGGTCAGTTTTAATAATAAGAAGTGTAACTCCAAACTGTACCTTTGTTTAAGTAGGACAGATTGATATAAGTGAGTCAAAACACACAAATGAAACTCACCGTGTTACATATATGACTGTAACTGGTATGTCTGCAGGTTCATGTGGAGAAGAAATGTATCTATTTGAAAGTGAGTTTTCTCCCTGTATGTCCTGTACAAGCTTACAACTCTTGACTCTTGTAGTTAGAGTGCATGCTCTGCTGGGTCTCCTCTTGAGAATTACACCACGAGAAAAGTAGGATCCTCTAGTTTCCACAGCACAGCACCCCCTCCGACATTCAGAAACATTGTTAAACTGAATGTTGAGCAAAAATAATAATTTTCTACTAAACTTCCTGCTGTACTAACTCTTTTTTTACTTTAATGCCCATGAAAAGGTTCTCAATGTAAAAGAAAGATTCAGTTCAAGCTTTGCAAAGTCTGTGGGAACTAGAGTAATCTGTGTATTAAATGCTTTGTGTTCTCCTGCAGCTGTCCGACCCCAGGCTGTGACGGCAGTGGCCATGTGACGGGGAATTATGCATCACATCGGAGGTACTGTAATTAATTACACTCTCATTAGACGCAGCCAGCACATATATAGACAAGGGAAACTGTGCTGATTGTTTGATTATGTTTATTACTACAGTTGAAAACTTGTCTCATAGCTTGTTTAGATAGATTTTATGTCGTTTTTTTCCCCACATTGGTGACAGGAAAAAGCTTTTTCATGAGGAAGAAGTGGAATTGTGTTTTCAAACAATTTTGTATAAATATGCATTGAGACATTGTATTAAGATTATTTAATTCAGCTGTGATCAAAGAGTGCATTAAAATGACTGTTAGCTCTTTATCCTCTTCAGTGTGTCTGGATGTCCCCTGGCTGACAAAACACTCAAATCACTGATGGCAGCCAACTCTCAGGAACTAAAGTATGTGTTTTGAAAACTGTTATTGTTGCTAAAGGATTTTACACATTAAGCTAGGCAGCTTGTTTTTGCCTTAGTGAAGATCAGCTCAGGTCAACGCTTTCCTTTCCTTTCCTTTCCTTTCTTTTCCTCTCCTTTTCCTTTCCTTTCCTTTCCTTTCCTTTCCTTTCCTTTCCTTTCCTTTCCTTTCCTTTCCTTTCCTTGTCTCTCCTTTCCTCTTGTCTCCCTTTCTTTCCTCTCCTCTCTTTTCCTTTCTACTACACGTTAGGCACAATCTCTATGTACTCCACATGAAGTTGTTTGCTATTTGCACCACATCTCTGCATATTAGCTTGAATTCACTGCTCTACTCTCAGTCTTTTGCTGTAAAAAGCACCTGGTCTCTGTGTCTCTCAACCTGCAGGTGCCCAACACCTGGTTGTGATGGATCTGGACACGTGACTGGGAACTATGCTTCGCACAGAAGGTAGCAGAGAAAAATCATCGCAACTGAGCATGAAATACATTTGTCAGATGCATGACATTCAAACAGATGGTGAAAGTCTCACTTTATACTGCAAACATGCTGCACTTTTTGAGATCTTGTTTTTACTGATTTTGTTGGCTGCCTTTCATGTATCTATGCATTTATTTATTATTTTAATATCCAAATTACATGCAGTTTTAAGGCTGTCTGTTTGATATTCTATTTTACATATCGGTGCAGTTGTAGTACAACTTTACAACAAAACAACAGGCTGCTATGTGCTAACAAAAAGTACAACGTATACAATTAGTAAAGTATTTGTCAATTAATGAATTTAATTTAGATGTGATTAAATGTGCAACTGAAATTTCTATCTACCTATCTGTCTGTCTGTCTGTCTGTCTGTCCGTCTGTCTGTCTGTCCGTCCGTCTGTCTGTCTGTCTGTCTGTCTGAACAGGCTGAACAGGCTGATATATGCTAATGCAGAGTACAACTTCTGCATTAATTAAACCGTTAATTGTATTTACATTAATACATTTAGATTTGCTTAAACGTGTGTCATTGAAACTCCATATTCCTCATAGCTGCCTGTGCGAGTTTAGCTTTTGTTTTAAGTCTTCTATAGTTTTCCTTCATGTTAACCCATACTGTTTCCAACCGTTTTTTAGCTTGTCAGGATGTCCACGTGCCAGAAAGGGAGGTTTGAAGCTCACACCAAACAAGGATGACAAAGATGAGCAAGAGCTTAAGTAAGAGTTTGTTTTTTTTTTCTCATCCCATGCTGTCATGTTTTTTGTTTCAAAATTAAAACAAGAAAACATTGTGGAAATGCGTCATGCTTTTGTACCCGGGGCATTATACCTGGAGGCCATTAAGTTAAACAAAGAAAATAATACTTCTGTTGTCATAACATTAGTGAATTATTTTCTAAGGATTAGCAGCATGTTTTGTGGGATTTTTTTCAGGGTTTTGTATTTTTCCTATTTTCTGAATGGAATATCTGGCTTATCACTCTTCACTGAGTGCTTTCTTTATAATTATAGTATACTAAGAAAATGTTGAATTGCTTGCTCCGATGGCATTGTGCTCATTTGCAGCTTAATCATTGCTGTCTGTGAAAGTGTTATTGGAAAAAAAATAATGTAATTGATTTGCAGTTTAAATCCAAAGTCAGATATATGAGCCCTTGTTTACTTATACATCTGGACACTGATTTTTTCTTTTTAATTACTAATGCAAGGGCATGAGCTTAGGAATTATACTGGAATAGATCTCATACACATTAAGAGAGACAGGGAGAGACAGGGGGAGGGTAGCAAATGTCCCTAGATTATTGTAAATAGTAGGCCATATGGCATGCCTCCATTGTCCTGGTGCCTTGCATCAAGCTACCTACCTGTGGTAGATGTAAGTAATGGGACTGGTGTTGTTTTGTCCTCTAAGTGCTGCTGTGCTGTCGAGCAACAAAATGCTGAAACAGGCTTTTTGCAGCAGCACTCTACAGCGTGTGTGCCATTTGTATCATCTCAGGTGACCTTTCACCTTTATCAATAAGGGAAGGGTTAGCCACCTTCAAATTACATTCTTTCGCATGAGGGGATACATGACAATTATCTGTAATTCATGTCACTCCATTACTGACCTGCAGAAAACAGGCCTGAAAATACAACTGACAAACTCTTAATGACATTCAGCGTGAGTTGTGCTTTTGTTTTTCAAGCACAAATATCAGTCACCTCGAAATGTATGCACCGAACAGAGTGTTCGCTCTAACTCAAGTTTTAGTGGATTAGTAACTTATAGTTAATGCGATTATTTGAGTCCATCTCTAGTTTTGGCGACTTCATTTTTAATCAGCATTTGGCTGGATTAATCAACTTAATGGTTAACAAATCTTCCGGTCTAGTTATTGAAAGAGAGATTTTTTAAATTATATCAGAGAATGATTTAGTTTCAACATTTTTCTGAACATTTTTTTTGCAGTTTATCAATGGAGTACTTGTTATTTCTGTGCAGTTAAATGTCTCTGTTTTGTCTGTAGCATAGAAATCCAAATTAGTTTGTTTTTTCTCGTGTGAATCAGTGGTATTTGCAGGTTCAGAACCTGTACGACTCTTTGTGTGTTTCTCTGGTAGGTGTCCAGTCATTGGATGTGATGGACAGGGCCATATATCGGGAAAATACACATCCCATCGCAGTGCAGGCAGTTGTCCACTTGCTGCCAAAAGACAGAAGGAGTCGTCCATCAATGGGCTGCCCTTTGCTTGGAAGGCCAATAAACAGGAACTACCCCATTGTCCCTTGCCTGGCTGCAATGGCCTCGGACATGCCAATAATGTGTTTGCCACTCACAGAAGGTGAGGTCGCCTGTCCTCCATTTTATCTCTAAACAACACTGCTGGTCGACATGTTGCATTCTTACTGTACAATGGCACCGTTTTCACTCCCTCTCACAGTCTCTGTTGATGCTAAAGTTTGAAGATGTTCTTGCTCCTAACATAATCATTTGTGACCTGCTGAACTAGCTTGTCGGGTTGCCCACTGAACGCACAGAGCATCAAGAAAAAACACTCCGAGGAAGAGATGATGACTATCAAATTGAAGGCCAGCAGTGGTAAGCTACTCTGACATGCTGTGTGGTATGACAATACTCAAGTATTCTGCAGTTACATGTATCTTGGCATAAAAAAAAAATCAATATTTGCTGTTGTTTGAACATGATAAATTAGATCTGTTTCAACTCAGGTGTTGAAAACAAAGAAGATATTCAACATTTGGATCATGAAATAAAAGAATTGAATGAATCCAACATGAAGATAGAAGCAGACATGATGCAACTCCAAACCCAGGTAAGTATTTACTCCCACAAGTTTGGTTTATGGACACCAGCTTGAGATCCTTGCTCGCTCGATTTGACGAGTCTTTTTTTTTTTTTTTTTGTACCCGAAAGCAGATCTCCTCTATGGAATGTAACCTGAAGACAATTGAAGAGGAGAACAAGATGATCGAACAGCACAACGACAGCCTTCTGAAGGAGCTCGCTTGCCTTAGCCAAGCTCTCATTAACAGTCTAACAGACATTCAGCTGCCTCAAATGGTACAGTAAGCCTTGACCACAGACTCCACTACAACTCATTATATCTAACCTGTCCTGGAAGAAATGTCATTTTCTATATATTGTCATTTCTGCTGTGCTGTTTTCACTAATAGTTAAACATGTTTTTGTTGCAGGGACCCATCAGTGAGCATAATTTTGAAGCCTATGTGAACACATTAACTGATATGTACAACAACTCGGAGCATGAATACTCTCCAGAGTGCAAGGCCCTCTTGGATAATATCAAACAGGCTATTAAGGGCATCCATGTTTAAGCTGTAGAGCTACCAAGAGGTTTCTTTGACTTCGGATAATGGCACTAGATAGCTCTATTTTACTGAAGAGTCCTGGCTTGGCTGCATGTATAAGACAAGGCTTTTGGAAATGTGTTTGGCATTTCCCGGTAAATACACTGCACTGAGAAAATTACCAGCCGGATTTGTAATGCTTTTACTGTTTCTGCATTCACTTGATATGTTTATCCTGGTGAGATTTTTACCCCTCTTGCACTTAATTATTTTGTATGGTTTGCTTGATTTTAATCCGTATGTGTTCATGTCATTCTTATATTATCGCTATTTATTATTATATTTGTTCATCAGTGTATTTATTTCCTCGATTTTTATTTATTTCTTGAATTGTAAATGCTTAATATCTGAGAAATCTGTTTGACTTTCTGCACATTGTAAATTACATAGAAGCACATTCCAATTTCCTGGCATACTTTTGCCATCTAGTGTTGAAAAACTTATATTATTATTAGACCATAAGTTGGATCTCCCTTCAAAGTAAAAACCTACAAAAACGATTAAGCATCGATATTTTTAAGCATTGCTTTTGCTTTCTTTATTGGAAACTGAATGTATGGTAAGACATAGTGAACACTGAGATCAAAAAAATGCAATGCAACTGTACTGTACCTTTTTCTTCTCAACCAATAACAGTTGAATGCAACCAGGAGGTGACACTGAGCAAAAATGCAACAACACTCAGTGAACTGAATGTCCAATTCTGCTTTGCATAGTGTGCCACAAGAAGAGTGCAACAAAAATCAAGAATCCACTTTGTCAAGATGTCTTTCTTTTTTTAAATATAGATATTAAACTGCCTTCTGTGCACACACTTTGGAGTGTGCATATAGTATGTGCCTAAATGTATATGAATCCATAAAAATATACGAGTACTATGTTTTGTGGTAGGACAGTATTATGTGGATGGTGTCTAATTTATTATACAGTACAATTATTTTCATAGGAGGAAAATGTTCCTGATGACTGTTTAAATACCGTTGTCTCAGTAGCTGTAATCTCAGAGTCAGGTTTTGAAATATCATGACTGAGATCGAAAAGTCTGGTGTTTATTTTAACTTTTGCTAGCATGGAGAGGGGAAAAATGTAGGAGTGAATTACAAAAAAACATCTACTTCTGTTCTATCTTAAACTGCTTACAAGCCTTAACATTTCAACCAGTCTTACAGTTTGAATATTCTTGTAACGCTTGGGGCAGATTTGAATAGTAGCTATTTCAAAACCGAGCTGACTACCACTACAACTCGCATTTCAGTTTCGATCATAAAATGCAAAAAAAAGAAAAAAAAGAAAAAAAGAAATGAAAACATAGACAAATGATAGTTGTTGGCTAATCAGTTGTTTGTTTGCATCAATTGCACTTTTGTATTTTGATTATTTTGTATTTTTAGTTCCACCACACTGCCCTTGACTTCAACAAAAAGAGAGAAATGGGACACTGTAGTCTTATAACCAAACTATACATGTCTCAATTTCACATGAGGCTTATCCCAAGAAAAAAGAATAAAATAACTAATTCATTCGAGCAATACATTTTTCATTTCTGCAAAAAGAAGTCAAAGACATGTAGCCTAGGACACTGCGAAGAAACAAATGTAACAGCAAAAGAGCCAAATTACAGAAAAAAATAAGACCCTATTTTATCCAAATACTCAATACGTTTTAAAGAATTTTAATCTTTTAAAAATTGAATCACATTCTTTAATCCTAACAATCCTTTATTTATAATTTCTTATATTTAATTCCTATACCACACATCGTTTGCTCAGGAAGTTTTGTGAATAATATTTATTTTTTCCCTGTTAGTATTTGATGTTTTGTAATGTGAAATGCTTTTTTGTGGACCGATATTAGTATGATATGAAATTGTATTGTATTTCTTTTCTTTTACATTAAAATGTAATGCTTTTTTCAGTTGAAGTAGTTTGTAAATTGAAACTTCCTATTACTTTTACTATTTCATAATAAACAGATATGCGCTGTGTTGTACAGTTTGTGTATGGTAGAAATAAACTTTTCAAATGGTTGTGTGGTTTCTCAAAGCTCAAGTGCACCGTCAGTCAAACATGAACCCAGTCAGAAGTCAAAGGTATCTGCTTTCCTTAGGCATTAGCATCACCTAGTGGTGAATGTGACGCATTACACCTAAAACATCAGGGAGTGGTCAGTGGCATTCAGATGCAGAAAGTTAAAGAAAGAAGTGTTTGGAGTTAAAGAATCAAAATAAAGAGAAATAATTGCAATGTTACAGTTTCAGTCCAGCTTGATACCTTTGCTGAATGTCATTCCCACTTATAAAAACAAAAAATGCCCCAAATATTACTTGAAATAAATCAAAATATACTGCACACTACAGTCTGTTTCAGCGTATTTTGTTTCGGGCTGCAACTATTTTTCTTATCAGTTAATCTGCCAGTTGTTTTTTCTGTTAATTGATTGATATTTGGTCTATAATATTGGAAAATGTCAATTGTTGTTGTTAATGTGTCGACTTCCCATTGCTTGTTTTGTCTGACAGTCCAAAGCCCAACAATGTTTAGTTTACTTTTACATGAGACGAGCAAAAGCAGCAAATCCTCAGCTTTCAGAAGCTAGCACTAGTAATGAAAAAATAGCATCAATCAATCAGATATCAACAGTTGCTGGTAAATTTTCTGCCGATTCACTAATCAATTCATCAACTGATTGTTCCTCTTCAGACTTAGTTAACAGACTTTAGATTAGACAAACTTAGACAACAGGTCATATCAAACAAACAAAAATGAGGAAGTTATGTCAAATAAACAACCGATCTCATAACCAATTTGGACTGTTAGTAAAAACAAGTTGCCTGAAGACGTCAATATGGACTGTGGGAACTTGTCACAGGCAGCTGCCAAACTTTTCTGATTTTGACATTTTATGGACCAAAATGATAGATTGAAAAATGATCTGGAGATTCAACAATGATGGAAATAACTGTTAGTTGCAGCCTCACAGTGATTCAGAGATAATGTTGAGTTCACAAGTACATAATTAAATCTCTGTATCTTTGATGTATTTACTTACAGACGTTAAAGTGGGGAAATAAGAGGAATTATATGCAAGGACCCACTGAAACAAAGGCAGCTCATGCAGCAAAATTAAACCACAGTTCAATTTGTGGTGTAGTAACAACACATTATCCAGAATATGAGGCTGCTCAGCGCACCACAAACATATTTCCTGTGACAGACAACCCAGTCTTCCTGTAATGTACATGCTGTGTGTGTAGAACATGAGAGGGTAACAGATATATAAAGTAACTTGATGGCCACCCACCCACACACATACACCCATACACACACACACACACTGTTGGGATGTGACCTCAGCTAACCCTGCTGAAGTAAACTGTCTGTGTATATTTACTTAATAAAACAGGTGGCAAGAAAATGTTTGGTTTCATGGAAATAACAAAGTATCCTATGTTTGTGTGCAATAGTGTAGTTTTTTTTTTAAATAATATGTTTTTTATGCCTTATCTGACTCAGTTCCTTTCCTCAGTATTCAGTTGTATTTTCAATTTTCACAATAATCAATAATTAATGTAAAACAAAATGAACTCAGTGTTTCTCTCTAATTGACTTTAGAAGACAGACTATCATGTAGGAAGATAAAATCATTTTTTGTTTACCTACATTGAACAGTTCAATGAATATTAAAAATCAGAGTCAATGCTTTTTCTTTGTGGCTAGTTAAAACTTTCTCAGGGGGCATGAGACTCCTGACCTCTGTATTTCTAAAATGCCCCGGTTTTATGTATCACATACTAATTATGGTGCTAAAAGCAGGTCAGACTTGGAGATGCTGATCTTGTTTGAATCATTAGTCAGGCCTCTTAAGGCCGTGAGTGACATGACTAATGATCCTCCCTGAGTAGGTATTCAATTACTAGAGAGACTTGAATGAACCCAAATTAAACACTCTGCAACCTTGTGTATTTTGTACTTTTAATAGTTTGTGTTGATGTAAGTATAAGGCTCAATACCTCTCAGTGTTACGCAATTAAAGCCACCCTTGCAGGAAGTAAACAAATTCTTCACCTTAGAAGACAACCTGTAGCAGAAAAGCACCACACACCACAAAAAGTGCTTTGCCACAAAATGTATATACAGAAAGTAAAAATCAGCACATTCCTCTTTAAATGTTGATGGATTTGATAAACTTGGTTTCTCTACCAGACACTTTGGCAACTGCTCACTCAGACCATTTAGTGCTCCAGAAAAAAGGTTTGGTGGTAGAAAACAGAGAAATGACTTAAATCTGTGTTAAATATGATCTACTCTCCTTTATGAAAAGAGAAAAGTACAGGAAGATGATCAGTGTAGCCGATAACTGTGTCTCTAAAACATCTTAATAAACTAAACAGCTTGGTTTGAAATGTTCTAATTTTCTTGAACTGACTGTATATTTAGTAGTCAAAATCTTCCTCCTGAAAAATAGGTGATCAATACTAATATCAAAAGATGAGGTGAAGTGAGGCCCCTGATACCGTGGCATTGTGTCCTACAGATCAAACTACAACTACAGTAAAACAAAAAGCTAGTCTAGTGAAAGCTGACCGGCCCAGACCCACGCATGTCTGCTGACCACAACTGCTTCCTTATTAAACCTGGTAATCATCTTTTCCCACACTTCGAGAACAGTTCAGGATCCAACTACAGATCAAAGTTAGGCCTTTTCTTAAGGGAACTGTGCGAGGTTACGAGGTGGGAGAAGCTTTCAAGCATCACTTGAATTGGATATTCTCTTTTTAAAGGCAATGAAAATGAGCCACACTATTATCATAGCCATATTAGTCCTTTTTTCATATGTTTTTCTAGGTAAAATTTAATCAGTGCTTAGGACATTCATCAGTTGAGCTGCCAGTAACCAGTTTAGATAGATAGATACATTGATAGAGGGCAACATTAGATATGATTTAACTTCAAAAAGATGAAAAAACATAAGTGTGGTTTGACTTTTTTGGATTGTTTGAGCGGTAAATAAATTTAAAAACAAACTGTGGTGAAAGTAATGCTCGGTTTACTGTCATTTTTTCTAAAAGCTTACAACATCTGTTCTCTGTAGCCTACAGGACTAATCCAGGATGCAACAAAAGGGGGCATTGTTGGATCTGTAAACTTTTAAATAACTTTCATTAGTCAGTTTGGAAACCTATCAACATGTGTTCTCTGTAACTGGTGTGATTTTCTCTGTAGTGAAGTACATCACTCCTGACTCCAAAAAGTACCCAGAACTACCCAGAACTGCTTCAGTAAAAAGAGCCTTGGTGCTGTGTACTGTGTTGGCATTGATATTGTACAAAGATGATGAGATTAAAAAAACAGTGGTTAAATATAAAGATGAGTAGAGCTAATAGTAACTGAGCAACATAAACTGATGTACTTCAACATCATCAAAGTCAAAGTACTGACTGAGATTTTCTCACAAAAGCTACTGTTGCCACCTTTGATATTGTAACTGATATAGATTGTGGTGATAAAAGTAGCCTACTCATACAAATACAGCATTCTAGTTGGTTAAGTCAAACGGTAGGTAACCACTGGTTTAATCTTTGAAATGTATATTTAATGTAAAATCTGTAGCTTGTAACTATAGCTGACCAACAATCTAAAACCCAAAGATATTTAGTTTACTATCATATCTGATAAAGAAAAGATGAAAATATTCACAACTGATTAACTGGAACCTGCAAATGTTGGCATTTTTGCTTTAAAAAAAAAGAAAAGATTATTCAAATAGCTGCTGATTAATTTTTTTCTTTATCTAATCAATTAATCAACTTATTGATGCATGATTGATAAACAAATTAGAAACTTAACTGTGACAGTAAAACACAGAACTTCAAAAAGTAGATAGATAGATAGATAGATAGATAGATAGATAGATAGATAGATAGATAGATAGATAGATAGATGTGAAGCAACAGTGCTTCCCTCTATCGACAACATTTTAAAACCACGTGACCTGTGTTTACATCCTCTCCTCAGCTGTTTCTTTCTTCATCCGCTTCGACACAGCGGCTCGTCCTTACTACTTTACCTTACCTTACCAAACCAACCAGCTGGTTAGCTCAGTTAACTAGTTCTCAGCCTCTACAGGAGGCATTTCACGTCTCAAAGTTACTGTCACTGACCGTCGCATTGCACAGTGCGTCCAGTTACAAGGAGTGAGTTAATGCGACACTGCATTGTGAGTATTTTTAATTTCTTTTCAGCTAACTGCAGTTTATGTGCGAGTTAGCCGGTGTGCATCGTCGGTTGCCTCTCTGTGTGATAGTTTTGATAGTTTTATATTAATGTGACAAAACAGAGTAGGTGTGTTGCGTGTTTTCTGGCTGTATAACGGCAGGGTGAAGAGGCGAGCTTACCTAACCTGCTTTGTCTCTGTTTTGATGATGGCGCACTCAGGCCCACTAAAGCTAGCGTTAGCCAGGTTAACTTTAGCTCAGATGCCAGTAGTCCGACAAAACACGGAAGGCTTGAATGCTTAACTCTCAATTTAAACCCAGCAATTCACTGCCACTGTGACCTACGTTTGCAAAATGCACACACATTTTTTGTGCACCTTGTCTTTCATTTTGATGCGTGTGTACGTGTGTTTGTGTTTGTGTGCAGGCTGCTCAAGCAGAGACTTTAGTTACATCAGGCGGAAGAGGCAGCGAGAAATCAACGTCATCATTGTTTTTTGTTTTTGTGTTTTGTTTTGTTGCGATTTCTCCTCGACTGTTTCTCAAAACCTGCAGGGGTGATATTCAGCCTCTTCTTGACAAACCAGTTTAGCTAGTTGCTGCTAAAGATTGAGGTTAATCGCACTGCAGAGAGCTGGACGGCAACTGCGTTTTGGTTGTGAACAAAAGCTGCATGAAAACACAAACGCACAGACACACAACCTCTCTCAGTGTTTGTCATCTTGTGTAATGAGTGCTTGACGGGCCGTGTGTTTCTCACAGATGTGAACGGGCAGGATTAAGAAACAGCCATGATTATTAACGCTTGACAACATTTCATGAAAACGCTGTTGTTGTTTTGCTCCATCGTCACACGCAGTGCGAGGAAAGTGTCCGGCCCTCTGATTGGCTGACAGGCTGCCGTCTGTGTGGCAACTGCAGCACGTGACCAGGTACGGAGCTGATTGGCTTCATCAGGTGTCAATTCTGGGGAACTTAGGAACATCTGTGAGTGACCAGAAAAATAGAAACGCCTGTATGATGTGGAGCAACATCCTTGGAGGAAGTACCACCTTACTTTATCCGTTTCTTTAAGTTTCTGAAGGTGTTCCTAATATTTTGGTGCAGTTAGGTTGGTTACATAGCATTTAATTAAATCCAAATCCACTTGCCAAATCCAAATGATTCTGTTTCATGAGGTTGAGCTTTTGTCATTTGCAAGTGATTTAGAAAATAACTAAAACTCAAAGATTCAGTTTGGATCTGTTGTTGGGCTAGAAGTTTTTAATGATAGCTACTAAAATAATTAACATCAACATTGATTAAGCTAGCCTAATTGATTGTTCGAACATACTGACTTTTACACCCCATTTTTCACAAACTACTTGATCCAACTAATAGAGGTTCTGATTTTCAACTATGAGGTTAATGAACTCAAACTATTGGTTTGATATGCATACAAAGTTTAACCTACTCTCCTGGAGTTAAAGCTACAGTATGTAATTTTTTTTCCTGATAGTTTTTTTTGTTGTTGTTGAAATATGCATTAAAACATATGTTAATGTGGAGAGGTGCTGTCAAAAGCTTCTGTGACCCAGACTCATTGAACAGCCTGGCAGCAGTGAGGAGGTATTCCCTTCTAAGTTTCTGAGCGACCCTCTTGCTTCTAACCAATCAGAGAAGGCTAAAGTCATAAGTGGGAACTGTGCATGATTGCACTTCTCCCTATTACTTCTCGGCTCACGCTAAGACTTAAAGTTAGTATGAGCTACTGTAAGATGTTGCTGTGGCTGACTCGCAGGCTAACAAACTCTCAATTCTGCACTAGTGTACACAAGGATGTTGGAGCAATAAATTATTATTCTCAGTTGATTAATCTGCTGATTATTTTCTCGTTTGGTCTATAAATTGTATCAAAATAGTGAAAAATGTCCATCACAATGTCCTAAATCCCAATCAATTGTCCAAAACTCAACAATATTCAGTTTACTGTCACAGGAGACGAAACAAAATCGGCAGATCCTCACAACTGAGAATCTGAAATAATTTCTGAACCATCTACATCATGGCAATTCCTAACTTGAGCTGGAATTTACAAGTATCAAATAAACCAATTGTTTTTGCAAATAATAATTATGTCTAAATGTTAGACAAAAGTAGAAAATACCAATTATCATTTCATAGGGCCCAGGATGGTGTTTTGTCCTACTATCCATGTATATGACAAAGAAAAGCAGAATATATACACATTAAGGAAGTTTGTTTTTTAAATGATTACTTCATTATCAAAATGGTTGCCAATTAATTTTCTATAGATCAACTAATTAATAAATCCACTATTAGTTTAGCTGAATGAACACCTGTGACCCAGTGTTGATAGCAGTTCACAACACTTAAAGTGTGTTGCCTTGCTGGCAGCGCTGTGATGCTGACATTCTCATCACACATCAGATAAAATAATAGATGGATAAATTGTTTACCGTTTTAAAGATGTGCTCAGATCAAAAGTGACAGTGTAGAAAGTCAATAGTGAGATACAGTTTCAAGTTTATCAATGTGCCACAAACTGAGGGAAGGACACAGCTACTTGAGTTTAATTAAATTGAGATAAAATTACAATCATATCCCGAAACTGTAAGACTCCTCCTCTTGAATACACAGAGACAGCAGGAGTAAAATTAAGAGGAGCCAGAGAAGAATAAGAGACACAACTGGAGTTGTGGTGCCTGTTCCTGTTGTCAGCCTGGCACGACAAAGGCCTTAACTGTCACATCTCTTGGCTGTTTCTGGCTAATTAACACAGAGTCTGGTGGTCACATTTGCATAAATAAAGAGTAAGGCAAATACACTTTTAATTAAGTCTGAAGGCACCAAAAGATCATTAGTACTTGCTTGAGGATGGAGTCAGATGAAAAGCCTTATTATTGCCTAAATCAGGAGGGTTTATCCCCTGCTGAGCATGAAAATGTTCAGATGTTTGCATGATGGTCCTGAGGAAGATGCTAAAATAAGGTTAATTATGGTGAGTGACTCAGTAAACTGTATCCTGTGTAGTTGTGGAAATGACAGAATAAGTCTTGATGTGATACCTCAACTAACATTGTCCAAAACGGCATAACTGGAGAGGAAGACACATCACTGGAAATGGGAAAATATTTTTTTAATAGAAATTGATCTTGTGTAATGTATTAAAAACACACAACAACATGCAGGCTGTGCCAAATAAAAAAATCACCAAAAAAAAAATCAGAGGTTATGCCTCATATTTATTCATATCAGAACATACTTTCTACTGTTGTATCAGAAGACAATACATTGCTTGTTTTTTCCCTCTTACCTCTAAACTATTAATACAGTTGAACTGGGAAAATGTCCAAGGTCATGGGGGTCAAAACTATTAAATGGCTTCTTCCTTTTTGGCAGTATAAACTTGCTACAGTGAATATGTAATAAAAGATTATGTGTAAAAGGTTTGCCTTGTTTAGGTCAGTAGGTCAACAAAATCTAGAAGATACCTCCCCTGGGGAGCATGAATGTAAGCAGACAGCTTTATAGTGTTCCACATAAACAGATGTTTATGTAAAATTGGACATTTTACCATAAATGTGATACTATAGGAAAAGTCGGGCGGGGCCAATATCATAGGACAGGTGGAAAATTTGAACCTGTGGTGGCACAAGCCTCATCAACCAGATGAGGCAATCATCAAATTCATTAGCACTAATAGACTAACTGACTGACTAACATTGCTATACCTAGAGCCATGCTGTCACTGTGGCTATAAATTAGCATGAGCTTCACAAAGGTAATATTTATTACAGGATGGTTGTGTTGAAATGAATTGCAGTCTGCAGGTGCTTTATGATTTTCATTTCACTCAGTCTGGAGAGGAATGCAGCACAATACCTTTTAGTCACAGTTTTCACACAGAGAAATATTCTGGTATACATGACTTTAATAACATATTCCTCTCAGGTAACATGAGCACTTCTATGAAATTTGCATTTGTAGAACAGACTGTGTTTGCACATGTTGTATTAATAATACATTTGGCTTCACAGACAAATTTGTAGCAGAATTTGTTTCCCAAACAGCCAGATCTAATTAATGAAACCTTTTCAAATATTCGGTTTTCTTTCTTCTTTTATCTAGTATTTTAGGCCATGTTCACCAAAAGGAAAAAAGAAAAAAGCCATCCTTTAATGGGGTGTGTGTATTTGTGGGGACATGTTGTTTCATATACCAGTGAGACACTGGGAGTCCAGTTGGCAGAATGGATTTATGTGTTTAAAAGTTTATTAGATGTCAAAACTCAGCACATCGGTTTGTTATACTCACAGACAGGATTTTACAACACTGGAACGTTACAATTGTAGCAGTTGTGTTATCTGTTGTCCCAACAATCTCGTCAGCAGCCAAACCAGATTCAACTTTTTTGCCGGACAACACAGCACTTTTTTGGATGGACCTTTCCTTTGGCCCCCTCACTTCCACGATAAATGAATGAGAGGAGCTATGTTTTTCCACGCAGAGTGAGTGTCAGTGTGAATGCAGCCTTATCCTCCAATGTGAACACATGTTCACATTTTTTTGCTGCAAGGAAAATAGAACAAAACATTCACACACCAGCCTCAAGAAATGTAAATTGACAAACAGGATTTGTGTATGCAATTTTATTGCATTATTAATTTCATTAATCACAAATACGCTCAGTGATCACTTTATTAGGTACACCTGTACAATCTAGCACAAATCAATACAATAGCCTACCTGTGTCTTAAATTCTAGGTTTCTAGCTGATGTTGCTGGAAATGTTTAAAGTCACTTATGTGTTTATTACTGAAGTCAAAGTTAAAGCTGGTGCTGAAGTGGACTGCATCATATTGAGACGCATTTCTAATTTTTTGTTCTTACATACATGAGTGGGGCAGAATATTAGAAACACATCTGAAAATAATGCATTCCAGTACAACAACACAATCTATCACGCTATCACAAACTAAGTTCTTAATTCTAAAAACAATATAATTAAATCAAAACTACATCGTAAAACTAGATTTGATGGCAGAGCTGTTGTATTGGATTGCATTACACTGTAGTGGCCACTGAATGTTTATTTCTCACAGTTATTGTAGCTTGAAACCAGTCAGTGATTACAAATGCTTGAATCTGCCAAATTAATTCGGTGTACCCTTGATAGAAAAAGTGAGGACTGTGCCTGTAAAGTTATTGTGAGCTTTATTCCTGCACGTGTGATTACTTTCTACTAATGCACATTATATAGGAGAAGTGCTCTGGTGTTTTCCAAATAGGTATGAGTATAATTCTCTTTCTTCTGGCAGAGCTGCAAATAGTCTGATAAAATGTCTGAAGTGTGCACAGTAAATGCTGGTAGCCATGAAGATTATCAGTTTACCTCACACACTGTCTGTTGATCAGCGGCGTGCATGTCTTGGGTGTGCTGCCTAGACAGGCCTTTGGTATTTAGTTACAGCACTAGAGCTGATCTTGGGTTCTTGGGTGTTGCCGGAGGATCTGTTATAGGTTTCCTCATCCTGCTTGGTTCAGTGAGGTGTCCATAAACGGGTCACGGCAGCCCGTCATGAGTTGAAATGGCATCCATGCACTTTCCATATACCCCAGGGGTCATCCTAGGCCTTCCTGTGTGTGTTTACCAGTGGATTCCTGTTTTCAACATTTTTTTCTATTAAGGCTAGCTTTACTTCAGCAACAAATGTTATTACCAAGCTGGCCTTTCTTGATTTGTCTTAAAGGGGTGGATGAATAATGACCTGCTTCAAGACTGGGTTATCATTGGTAAGACTGCACAGCATTTACCAAAAGCAATTTGCCTATAGAATACCTCCCCTGACCCATTTTCCTGGATTTGCTTTCAACTGCAGGCAAGTCAAAGGACTATGCATTGCAGAGAGGAAGAGGGAAAAAATGGGATAAAAAAAATACACTGCTGTACAATCAGTGATGGTGAGCGAATCAATGACTCTTTTGCCTGCAAGAAAGAGCCAATGGAAAATTACCTTACCAGGCCTCCCACTACAAAGTCACCTCTGAATTTAATCTTTATTAGCTGAGTCAGATGTGGAGATGCTGAGAAGGCAGAGAGCGATTTCAAGACTTGTCTCCCTCGGCTTCAGTATACCCATTCACCCTGTGGCAGTGTGGGATATTTTTGTTAGCAAAGTTTTCATAAAATGTTTAAATACGTCTTTGTTGTTATAATGTGGTACTTTTATAAGGAAGTATTACATAGTAAAGGCAGTAGCTCAGTATTTCTAATCTAAGTAACTTTCAAAGCACCAGAGATCAGTGCATATTTTTGCAAAGACCCACCCCTATAGCAGTGATTTCCAACCTTTTTGGCTTGTGAGCTTCTAAAAAGAAACTGCCTTCTTTTATTGTGACCCCTCATCACAGGTTATGGCCTTAGTTTGGACATGAGCAGGTCAACCAAAGAGTTGTTTGATCTTCTCAGACTGTTTCATTTGAAGAGTTTTTAGAGGCCTGATGTGCAGAAAGTATTCAGTACAGTAAAAAGTCTGAAGCTAACTTTGTTTCACCTCCAACTTTCTCTTTGTACATTAATTCTCTGTTTCAGTACAGCAGGTAAGATATATATTATAAAAGAATAAAACAATGTTTTCATCAAGAGTATGGCCCCTGTGTGTGGTTGGATTTTTAAAGACATACATGTTATGTGATAGGTAGGTCCCTCCTTCGCAAAGGTTATAATGTTCTTAGGAGGAAACACTGAACTTTAGTTGGGTGTCCTACCTCAGAAAATGGGACTCCACACTGTGGAATTTATTTCCAGTTAATACGCTGACAAATCTGATTTGTGTATCAACACGAAAGCTTCATCAGAACGTGATTATTATGGGTTTAATGTTCTGTGAGGAGAGTTTCTCATATCAGAAACTCATTATATCAGCGAAGAAAGACTAAATATTTGAGACAACTCTTGGTAAGACGCAGTGGAGTTCATTGGTGAAGAATCAACATCTTTTGAAATGATTTCAACAAAATACGAACTTAACAAATGTAATGATAGTTGGATTTATTGCAGCGCTGTTGTATTAGACTGTGTTCATTTTAGCCAGAGTATACCGTGACACAAAATAAATTTCCTTACCATCAGAAATTTTGCCCTGATAGTGTTGGTAATGTCCTGTCTGGTTGTTTTATCCGTCAACGTTTTCTCACTAGATTTTCGATGAATTTTACCATATCACAATACACTGTATATCGATACTCTAAAATAAAAGTTCCAGGTGCCACGATAGATGATTTTATCCATATTTCAATACCCAGCCCTAACGTCAGCTTTATATTACAAAACCCTACCCTTACCCTCTGGACATAGCAGACACAACTGATGTAACAACTGTGACACTTGGGCAGACAGTGTCAGCCTTACATCAGGTTTTGGTTGTGACTGTCTGAAGCAGTCAGTGAATTCAGTCTATTAATAATAGACTACTAATAAAACATATATGAGCTGCAGCTATTTGTTATTTATTGTTATAATATATTATTATTATTTACCTGTCTTTTAAAAAAATTTACTATAAAATGTTAGGAAATTGTTAGAAAAAGTCCATCACAATTTCACGGGGCCCAGAATGACGCATTTGAGGCGCTTTTTTTTTTTTCGGCCAACACTGTAAATACTACAGATATTCAGTCAATGTCATAGGGGGCAAATGTTTACGTTTGAGGAGCTGGAACCTGTGAATTCTTGGCATTTTCTTGGTAAAAAAAAAAAACATTTAACTGACTTGAAACAATTAATAAATAGTATCAAAATGCAGGTTAATTCTCTCTCAGCTCTTAAAAACAAAACATATTCAGCACATTACACTGCATGCAGAACATTTGTTAGCACTGGAGATAGTGTAACTCATAAAAATAGTTCATATTTGAGTTTGTGTGACCTTATTAATGTGACGAAATAGAGCCTTTTCACGGCAGATATTTTGACATGTCATTGCAGGAAAATCACAGGTGTAACTATAATTATGTTAATGACCCAGTGAGTCAGCATGTGTAATACTGGACCCCTGGAACCTGCATATCTCCATACAGTGCAGACATAATTAGGGATATTAAGCACACTTGTGCTTTTCTTGGTATCACACAACAGAGTCAATGCACTGGAGAAAAAAAAATGATGAGGTCTGCAAAATACAAATTTATTGAGGCCACGGACAATATTATAAAGTTAAAATGCCTTGTTGTTGTATCATTGGATTGTTTTCAAACATGACAGTTTGATGAATACATTGTCAACATTTATATAAATACAACTAAATTATTTAATTTGGCATATTGCAAATGCATTTGACAACTTAAACTTTAGCCTGAGGGGGATTAATTAAGAGAACACTATTGTAGCATAATATGTCATTGATTGAGTCTGTTTCTCTCAGAGTTGTTAATTTTTCATCAAAAGACGATCCCACTTGTGGGAGACTATTAATAAATCTTTACTTTTATCAGCATCTTAAATCTGCACTTGTAGGATTTAAGCAGACACAGTATTATTTAGCAAGTGTATCGCTATAACATGTTATTATAATTTTTCTCAGGTCATTTGCTGCCTGGACATGTCTGTTGTGTGAACTGACACTCGAGGAGTCACAGCGGCGGGATCCTTCAGCCAGCCGTTCATCTTCATGCCACTGTGAGGACGAATCACTCATCCTGAGTACGACTTCGCCCCTTGTGTTTCTCTTCTCTTTTTGCCATGGGGGGAGCCGTGAGTGCCGGGGAGGACAATGATGATCTCATTGATAATCTGAAAGAAGCTCAGTATATTCGCACAGAAAAAGTTGAACAGGCTTTTCGGGCCATAGACCGTGGTGACTACTATCTGGACGGCTACCGGGACAGTGCCTACAAAGACTTGGCGTGGAAGCATGGCAACATACACCTGTCTGCTCCATGCATATACTCTGAGGTGATGGAGGCCCTCAAACTGCAGCCAGGACTTTCTTTCCTCAATCTGGGCAGTGGGACCGGCTACCTGAGCACAATGGTTGGCCTTATCATAGGTAAGCATAGTGTACCTTTTTTTCCACAGCTTTTTTTTTTTTTTCATATATGGGATATGCTCAGACTAGGAACTAGTATCATAGTAGTGAAAGTTACCCATCACAATTTCCTAAAACCCAAGGGACTGTCCACAAATTGCTTGTCCAAAACCCGAATATATTCAGTTCACTATCACATAAAACATACAAAAGCAGTAAATCTTCTGGAGTCATAATGTTTAGCATTTTTACTATAAAAAAAAAAAGACTTAAAATTTAATATAACAATAGCTGCTAATTAATATTCTGGCCGTCAGTAAAACAATTAATTGTTTCAGCTCTACATCATACGATAATAGGTAGTGAGTAATGCTGTGTTATGCTTTTTTTTAAAGAAAATAATTTGTTTGTTTTTTTGTTTTTTTTTGTTCAAAGGGCCGTTTGGAGTGAACCATGGAGTTGAGCTCCATAAGGATGTGGTTGAATATGCCAGAGAGAAACTGGATGATTTCATAAAGAATAGTGACAGCTTTGATAAGTGAGTACATGCTCTGGGACATTCACTTTCATGAGAGTTAGATGAAAAGATACAAGTAAAGGTGGAGAAACTAGAACCTGTGGTGTGAATACATCTATTTCTTGTTAAAGGAATAGCTCGACATTTTGGATATCACATTTGCTCGCTGTTTTGCCAAGAGTTAGAAGAAGGTCCATTCACATATTTGACCATTAAATGAAAGGCTACTGCCAGCAGCAGGTTAGCTTAGTTTACCACCAGGACTGGACACAGAAGGAAACAGCTAGCCTGACTCTGCCCTTAATCTGTACCAAATCAAAATTTAACAGCACAGATTTTGTACAGGTTAAACAGGCAAGTCATATCTTGTTAATTATTGAGCTTTAAAAGTGCCGTTTAGCAGATTTTTTTTTTCACAATTAACCTTCAGCAAGAAAATGAATAAGCATATTTCCCAAAATTCCAAACTTTTCCTTCAACAAGAAGTGGATGTATTCAAACCTCAGCACTAGTAACAGTTTTGCTGCTTTGCACCTCAAGACTTTGTCTTGCAAATTAAATGCATTCAAATCTCTCCAGTTCTACTCAATTTATTTGCATTATTCTGTCACAGCTTAAAAATGTGATGATGAGCCTGAAAGAAAGAAAGAAAAATGTGTTTTCCGTGGTTGTTTATTGTATTTTATTCACTGTACTTGTTATTATTTTTTCACAGGTTTGAGTTCTGTGAACCCATCTTTGTTGTGGGGAATTGCCTTGAAATCTCAACAGACAGTCATCAATACGACCGCATTTATTGTGGCGCCGGGGTGCAGAAGGACCATGAAAATTACATGAAAGTACTGCTCAAAATTGGAGGCATTCTGGTGATGCCTATAGAAGATCAGGTAAGTGCCAAGCCACCTGAATGATAAAGAACCAACACATCCTGATTGCTGTTCAAAATGCTAACACATGAGGGAAAACAAGGTAAAATAGCTTTGACCTACAAGACTGGTTATGCAACTTTCACATGCATTATTGAGCCACAACTGTCCCTGAATTTGAGCAGCTGTGTAAGGAGCACAGGCAGGGCTGTATAAGTACATATTTTATTAAAATGGTGAATTTATGGTGGATGGTGAGTGTGGCCATGTAAGAGGGCATTCAAGATATTTTGGGATGTTTGTGGAGAAAATGGTTGGCAGGAACCTTTTCCAGTAAGCGGGTTAAAGAGCTTGACTGAGCCATGGTCAGCGATTTTGGGCAATTTAAGGTATTTCAAGGAAAAAGAAGCTGAAGATATCAATCCAATGTTATACTGTGTTTTTAAAGAAGGTGTTTGTTGTGGCTTTTCATCAGCACCAAGCTCATGTTCTCCCCTTCCATCTCCACCAGAGCTTTTTTTAAAATGACTCTCTGGAGTGGACCAATATGAAACATCACATTGCAGTACAGTGAAGGGGAGAACAGATCCTTTCGAAAATGCTAACGTACTGTGTGATTGATTATCTTCAAAGCTGGATGCTAGTGTGTAGAGGCAGCAATAAGATACAAGCTTTGTCATCTGTAACTCCCTCTGTTTTTTCTCTCATGTCCATATAACAAATTGTATGAAACAGACATCATTATTACCATACTGCTTCTTTATGTTTATGCTGGCAGATGTCCTCAAAAACATAAAACATAAGAGGTCTCCATGCATCTGCCCAGGAGCTACTGTTAACCTTAGCCAGCATGTCACATTTAATCAAAATACCATTGTACATATGCCCAGTTTGAGCAGAAAAATGTGAACACCTATATTGAGGCTATATTGAAAGAAAAAAGGGAGCAATTGCATAGAAATGGTTAGTGTTTCAGTGCAGAATTAAGTGCTCCCTGGGGGGAAAAGTACATTAAAGACGGCTATGAATGGATGAACCTTACTTCAAGGCAGTATCAGCTGGTATTAATGGCTCTGTGAGTGTGCCACTTGAATGCTTGAATTTTGATGATGTGTCAGGGAGGGGTGAACAATTTGAAATCCTGCATACTGTAACTGCAACAATTAGTCAATTAGTTAATTAGTCAATGGACAAAATTACTTGCTAACTTTTTTGATAAGTGATTAATCATTTACGGTCATTTTTCAAGAAAAAAAGACAACCATTTGAAGACATCACTTATCCCTGATAGTACTAGGCCAGTGTTAAAAATCAATCAGCAGAATATAATTTATTTAATGATAATATTACATTTTTACAGAGGACTTTAAAACTTTAAAGTCTCATCCCGTTAGATGAATATAAACTTCAAATTTTTTTCAAGAGATGTCTGTGATTGTTTCTGATGCTGTCTGTATGGGCTTGTGTGCATGTTTTGTCTTGTGATGTTTTTTATTTCTTCTGCTGAACTCAGGCCTAAAAAGAGATTTTAATCTCAATGAGACTAATAGATGAAACTTTGTATGATTTTTGCATCAGTGGAATAAAGTACTTTGATTTTTCAGGTAAAACCATCAACACATTTTCAATAGATTTTTTCCATGAATTGTATTATCTTGAAATATGGATTTCCCTTTGTTCACATACAAAGCAAGTGTAAAGAGAAAGTTAATGTTTGATGTGACTGCATATATGCAACTGTAAAGAAGGGTACATTTCTTCTCTAGGGGCATGGTTTACATTTCTCTGGTTACACAGTGTGCATAGATCTGCCCAACATTATGAATCTAGAGTAACATCTTTAGGTGTGTGAATGTTATTTAATAAGCAAATATTATGTTTATACAGAAATAATTGCTACTATGTTTTTGTTTACTGTCGACACCTGTAGAGAATCAAAATGCACCCTTGTGAGAATCATCTGTATTCAGGTGGCAAATTCACAAAAAAACACAAGAAGCAATAGCAGATGGTAAAAATATCCACACAGCTATACTGTAAATTCACCAGCATGTGTGCAAACATAGATACAGTAAAAAAAAATATATATATAAAAAATATATAAAAATATATATACTGTATATCTATATATATATATAAAGATATATATCTATATCCATATATATCTATATAGATATAGATATATATATATATGTTGAAGAAACTGTGGTGGTTGAGGAGCTTAGCCCTTGTTCCCTAAGGTTATACAGTATTTCATATTTTATAAGTGTTCAGTGTTGAGTTAAGGTTTTGTCTCTTTATGCAGCTGACCCAGATAACCAGGACTGGTCAGTGCACATGGGAGAGCAAAAACATCTTGGCGGTGTCCTTTGCCCCCTTGGTCCAGCAGAGCAGAGCTGATGGAGAGAAGCCTGACACTGTCCAGCTGCGTAAGTTACCCGGCCTCCACAAAGCACAAAACAACCAAAGCAAAACTCTTTGCGTCATTGTGCTTTATTCTGCCTTAACCGCCTTAAATTGTAAAGCAGGCAATCTTTTAAAGTTGGACAGTCCATTCAAAGCCTTGTGACCAGATGATTCCTAAAGCAATATCTGCCTTGACATATGAAGCTTGCCCTGCAGCTGCTTCATAGAGCCAGTTATTTCCTTTCCTTGATATACTGAGACACACTTTTCTCTTTGACAGCCTCACTTGTTTATGCTGACCTAGTTGAAGGACTGGTGCAGTTGTATGGATTATTCTTTTTTTTTTTTTGTTGAGCATTGCCCTGAAGGACTGTGTCATCTCTGTTTGTCCTCAGCCCCAGTGACTGTCCGCAGCCTTCAGGATCTGTCTCGGATCTACATCCGCCGCACTCTCAGAAACCTGGCTAACGAGGACAGTCAGGGCAAGGGGATGGTGCAAAGAGTCCCCCAGAAGCGCAAACGCAGGCGCTGCCGGCGGCGCCGCATCAACACCTACGTTTTTGTAGGCAACCAGCTGATCCCCCAAATGGTGGAGAGCGAGGAGGAGGAGCACGCTGAGGAAGAACACAAGGAAGTGGAGGAGGAGGAGGAAAGAGACATTGGCGACATTGAAATCCTCAAGCAAGTGAACGTGTTGAGAGACCAAATAATGGCTTTGCCGCTGCCTGAGTCACTGAAAGCATATTTGCTGTATTACAGAGAGAAATGACTGATTCCCTCGATATCCATTCATCATGGGTGCGGCTCCTGCTGAAATGCTTTTCTTCACCCTTTTCAGTACAAATGTAGCATTATTTCCATTAAATCTTGATGGCGAAACTGTAATGGAAAGAGACGTCATAGATAATATTGGATAATAATGTTATGATTGTCATGACTTGTTAGTTTTTGTTGACTTTTTCTTTTGATTTGTATATCAAAAAAAAAAACAATGTAAAAAGTATTCTAAATGGAAATAGTTTCAGAAACCCGTTTTGAGATTCAGATTTTATCACAATATGTCAGGATTTCTGCAGAGGTGTGCAGATTAAAAATTGTATAAAAAAAGAAGGTTCTTACTATATTTGTTAAAATATGATCATGCTAAGATGAAGACTTTTATTGCACCTTTTTTAGAAGCTTTAACTTACTCTCAGTGTCTGGAGATTTAATGATGCTGAAAGGAGCAAAAGACACTGAAAGGCAAAAATGGTCACATCCTCCCACTTTGAGTTTCGAGAGCAAGATGTTCTTGCATAATCATGACTGGGTCATTACTCCTCTGGATATTTGGTTTTAGGTCAACGTGTTTTTACCTTCCTATTACAACAGAGCATTGAGAGACCAGATTGGTTCATAATTTTTTCTACAGGGCACCTTTTGATGTAACTTTTTCTACAGGGTGCTTACATACGTACTTGTGTTTTCTCACTTTGCATATGAGTAGCTGACATCCTACTTGACATGGTATTGTGTTGTAGGCCCTCTCCTTTCCATGGTTTTCTTTCCATTGTAAATGCAAATAATATATTAGTTTCAATAATCATATCAGAGGTTTAAAATAATGCTGAAACTGATGTCAGGTGTTTAAAAGGTTCACATTTTCAGCTTTTTTAGAGGGAGCTGGTAACGGGGAGATGTTAATGAGTACATGCATGAATTTACTGTATATGTCTTGGGTGTTCCTGACTTTGCTTCACATCTTATGATTGGTCACTGGAGGTGATGTCCCAAGTGATCTAGTTAGGAAATGTTTTGGCAAAAGGAAAAAAAGGATTTAAAGATGTTTAATCAATTAGATGGCCTTGAGACAAATCTCAAATTCTGTCTTTTTTTTTCTTTTTTTTAAATCGACACCAATGCAAAATCAGAATCTCTGAGGATTTTGAAGCCTTTTGTATTCTGGACTGTAGAAGTGTCCAGCAAAGCACCTTAATCTCTTAATCTGCAGTCCTCAAGTGAAAAAGAAAAAAAAGTGCCATTTTTGTGGCTTAATTTGTACCGTGGACTGAACTTACTGTAAATGTAAATCCTGTTTAATCAAAGTACAACTTGCTTGCAGAACTTCCCTGATAGTGATGGCTTTTAAGTGCCAACGTACCCCATCACATTAGGATTTCTGTGAGTTTTCTGGCACAGTAAATTTAACCCAAACAATGCTATATTTCTACAAAAACATTCCACAATGGAAAAAAAAAACAAAAAAGAAAACAGCACATCACTGATAGATGTCACACTATTTCTTTATGCTTTACCGTCACACACTTGGAAATTTCCTTCATTTTTCTTTGAATGCATAATTTAGTATTCCAAAAGCTGAGTTGAATGTTGTTGATATTAATTCTATTCAATATAAAAGTGATATATATGTATTGTTATCATATGATTCTGCCTACAGTTTTATTTGCATTTGGTTTGTTGTAGCGCCCTCTTGCTGTACTGTATCTTGACACTGGGAACTCTGTAGATCAAAACTCCACTGCTGTCCGTTAAATAGATAAGATATATTAGTGCTATAGGTCTTCATTTTGTTCTGGTGTATTGAAAAAATATTTTGTTTGAAAACAGGCTGATTATTCTATTAGTAGTTTTGTGTGTGAAGAGGTAACATTTATTGTTCTGTAAGGTTCTATTTTTCTTTTTTTTTTTTTTTTTTTTTACATTCATCAGAAAGCTTTGCAACTAAGCAATAATGGAATAATTTCCTATCTTATAATTACCAATACAAACATAGTCCCATTTGATTTGCGTAGTATCCATTAAAGTTCACATAACCAATTACAGGCATGCAACAGTTTATATACCATTATCTAAAATGTAATAGCTAATTAGAGAGCACATTAAGAATTGAAAGCAGGGGACCTACAACCTCGACTCTCAGGTCAAGCCTTGCACCAAAGTTAATGGGACTGCTGTGATTTCATTTAATTCGACTACAGAAATGGCACCCGGTAAAGTCATAACCAGTTCTGCTCTGTGCTTATATTAAGTTAATTTGTTGAGAGCCAAAACAGTCCGTTACTTCTTTTTTTTTTAATCAGGCCTCGGTTGATTTCTCATAGTGTGTGCAGTTCATTTTGAAAACGTGTTGTTTCTCCGTAAATGTTTGGCACAAAAATAAAGGTCACAACCACATCACGCCTCCTCTAATCATTGTAACTGCTCTTTTTGGGGTCCTATTATGTTGCTCGTTTTTTTGCCTGAGTATGTCCAACATGGTCAAGGAGTCAGATGAGTCATCGTGAAAAACAGATGTGGAGGAGAAACCGTAGTAAAGATGCCAATGTGATATCTACTGCTACTTTGACCTCAAATATTAGAGCAGAGTGAGGAATGAGGATGAAAGTCTCAGGCTCATACCTGGGATGCAATAAAACACACTCAGTTTTGGATGCTGCATTTGCTGTTTCATCAGATCCATGACAATTATTACTAGATTTAGAGTCAGGGTCATTCTGAGCATAATCAATAGATAAACTTCAATTACATCTCTTTGACTTTGTGCAGTGTAAACATGCACAGATGACAACCAGAAACGAGTAGACAGGCTTTTATCTGCAACAGAACCCAAGGGTTGTACGTGTGAAAAATCTATAATATCCCATTAACATTCAGTTAACATACTGTTTTCCACTTTTATTTCCTTTCAAGCAGCTTTAAGGTTCTTCAGATCAACTTATTCCAAAGTCAGAAAGTACTGTGTCCTGTATATTCTATATAGGGTGAAATAGTGGTTTCATGGCAATAGAAGCTATTGTGTAAAGCAAGATTTTCTTGCATTTATATGTTAAAAAAAATAATTTCATTTGGTTGAACATGATTTGAAACAGAGCCGGCCCTGAGCAGAATTTGATTTGGCCAAGGGCATAAGTTTTGTAATAGTGTAGTAAGGTGTAAAAACGTCATAATATATTAAGTCAAATAAAACATCATAGGATAGTATGAAAGACAAATTGACAATTGAACTAATGCACATGTCCTTGGACTGTGGGAGAAGAATGCAAACTCCACACAGTAAGGCACTAGGACTTGAGTTTAAACCCACAACCTTTTCACTGTGAGGCCAAAATTGTAACCATTGTAATACCAAGCAACCCCATAGTAACTTCAAAGTACACAAGGTCATACTATAGTATGGCATAAAAACGATATAGTATAGTAAGGCATAAAAACGTCAAAAAACATCTTAGTATATTATGGAATATTTCACAATAGGTCATAGCAGAGTAAAAAACAAAAAACCATAGTATAGTGAGGCATAAAAACACCATAGTATAGTAAAGCATAAGAACTCCATATTATAGTAAGGAATAAAAAAGTCATAGTATAGTAAGGCATTAAAATGCAAAAAAACGTCATCGTATAGTAAGGCATAAAAATGCAAAAAAACGTTGTAGTATAGTAAGGCATAAAAATGTCAAAATACGTCATACTATAATAAGGCATAAAAAAGGCAAAAAACGTCATCGTATAGTGAGGCATAAAAATGCAAAAAAAACGTTATAGTATAGTAAGGCATAAAAACGCCATATTATAGTAAGGCATAAAAACGTCATAGTGTAGTAAGGCATAAAAACGCCATATTATAGTAAGGCAAAAAAACATCATAGTATAGTAAGGCATAAAAATGGCAAAAATTGTCATAGTATAGTAAGGCAAAAAAATGAAAAAAACGTCATAGAATAGTAAGGCATAAAAATGCAAAAAAAAACGTTATAGTATATTAAGGGCATAAGAATGCAAAAAAAACGTTATAGTATAGTAAGGCATAAAAACGCCATATTATAGTAAGGCATAAAAACATCAGAGTATAGTAAGGCTTTAAAACATAATAGTATAGTAAGGCATAAAAATGTCATAGTATAGTAAGACTTTAAAACGTCATAGTATAGTAAGGCATAAAAATGCAAAAAAAACGTTATAGTACAGTAAGGCATAAAAATGCAAAAAAAAACATCATAGAATAGTAAGGCATAAAAATGCAAAAAGACGTCATATTATAGTAAGGCATAAAAATGTCATAGTATAGTAAGGCATAAAAATGCAAAAAACGTTATAGTATATTAAGGGCATAAAAATGCAAAAAAAAACGTTATAATATAGTAAGGCATAAAAACGCCATATTATAATAAGGCATAAAAACATCATAGTATAGTAAGGCATAAAAATGCAAAAAAAACATGATAGAATAGTAAGGCATAAAAACGCCATATTATAATAAGGCATAAAAACATCATAGTATAGTAAGGCATAAAAATGCAAAAAAAACATGATAGAATAGTAAGGCATAAAAACGCCATATTATAATAAGGCATAAAAACATCATAGTATAGTAAGGCATAAAAATGCAAAAAAAACATGATAGAATAGTAAGGCATAAAAACGCCATATTATAATAAGGCATAAAAACATCATAGTATAGTAAGGCATAAAAATGCAAAAAAAACATGATAGAATAGTAAGGCATAAAAACGCCATATTATAATAAGGCATAAAAACATCATAGTATAGTAAGGCATAAAAATGCAAAAAAAACATGATAGAATAGTAAGGCATAAAAACGCCATATTATAATAAGGCATAAAAACATCATAGTATAGTAAGGCATAAAAATGCAAAAAAAACATGATAGAATAGTAAGGCATAAAAACGCCATATTATAATAAGGCATAAAAACATCATAGTATAGTAAGGCATAAAAATGCAAAAAAAACATGATAGAATAGTAAGGCATAAAAACGCCATATTATAATAAGGCATAAAAACATCATAGTATAGTAAGGCATAAAAATGCAAAAAAAACATGATAGAATAGTAAGGCATAAAAACGCCATATTATAATAAGGCATAAAAACATCATAGTATAGTAAGGCATAAAAATGCAAAAAAAACATGATAGAATAGTAAGGCATAAAAACGCCATATTATAATAAGGCATAAAAACATCATAGTATAGTAAGGCATAAAAATGCAAAAAAAACATGATAGAATAGTAAGGCATAAAAACGCCATATTATAATAAGGCATAAAAACATCATAGTATAGTAAGGCATAAAAATGCAAAAAAAACATGATAGAATAGTAAGGCATAAAAACGCCATATTATAATAAGGCATAAAAACATCATAGTATAGTAAGGCATAAAAATGCAAAAAAAACATGATAGAATAGTAAGGCATAAAAACGCCATATTATAATAAGGCATAAAAACATCATAGTATAGTAAGGCATAAAAATGCAAAAAAAACATGATAGAATAGTAAGGCATAAAAACGCCATATTATAATAAGGCATAAAAACATCATAGTATAGTAAGGCATAAAAATGCAAAAAAAACATGATAGAATAGTAAGGCATAAAAACGCCATATTATAATAAGGCATAAAAACATCATAGTATAGTAAGGCATAAAAATGCAAAAAAAACATGATAGAATAGTAAGGCATAAAAACGCCATATTATAATAAGGCATAAAAACATCATAGTATAGTAAGGCATAAAAATGCAAAAAAAACATGATAGAATAGTAAGGCATAAAAACGCCATATTATAATAAGGCATAAAAACATCATAGTATAGTAAGGCATAAAAATGCAAAAAAAACATGATAGAATAGTAAGGCATAAAAACGCCATATTATAATAAGGCATAAAAACATCATAGTATAGTAAGGCATAAAAATGCAAAAAAAACATGATAGAATAGTAAGGCATAAAAACGCCATATTATAATAAGGCATAAAAACATCATAGTATAGTAAGGCATAAAAATGCAAAAAAAACATGATAGAATAGTAAGGCATAAAAACGCCATATTATAATAAGGCATAAAAACATCATAGTATAGTAAGGCATAAAAATGCAAAAAAAACATGATAGAATAGTAAGGCATAAAAACGCCATATTATAATAAGGCATAAAAACATCATAGTATAGTAAGGCATAAAAATGCAAAAAAAACATGATAGAATAGTAAGGCATAAAAACGCCATATTATAATAAGGCATAAAAACATCATAGTATAGTAAGGCATAAAAATGCAAAAAAAACATGATAGAATAGTAAGGCATAAAAACGCCATATTATAATAAGGCATAAAAACATCATAGTATAGTAAGGCATAAAAATGCAAAAAAAACATGATAGAATAGTAAGGCATAAAAACGCCATATTATAATAAGGCATAAAAACATCATAGTATAGTAAGGCATAAAAATGCAAAAAAAACATGATAGAATAGTAAGGCATAAAAACGCCATATTATAATAAGGCATAAAAACATCATAGTATAGTAAGGCATAAAAATGCAAAAAAAACATGATAGAATAGTAAGGCATAAAAACGCCATATTATAATAAGGCATAAAAACATCATAGTATAGTAAGGCATAAAAATGCAAAAAAAACATGATAGAATAGTAAGGCATAAAAACGCCATATTATAATAAGGCATAAAAACATCATAGTATAGTAAGGCATAAAAATGCAAAAAAAACATGATAGAATAGTAAGGCATAAAAACGCCATATTATAATAAGGCATAAAAACATCATAGTATAGTAAGGCATAAAAATGCAAAAAAAACATGATAGAATAGTAAGGCATAAAAACGCCATATTATAATAAGGCATAAAAACATCATAGTATAGTAAGGCATAAAAATGCAAAAAGACGTCATATTATAGTAAGGCATAAAAATGTCAAAAAATGTCATAGTATATTAAGGCATAAAAATACAAAAAAAACGTTATAGTATATGAAGGGCATAAAAATGCAAAAAAAAATGTTATAATATAGTAAGGCATAAAAACGCCATATTATAGTAAGGCATAAAAACGTCATAGTATAGTAAGGCTTTAAAATGCAAAATAATGTCATAGTACAGTAAGACACAAAAATGTCAAAATACGTCATAGTATAATAATGCATAAAAATGGCAAAAAACGTCATAGTATAGTAAGGCATAAACATTCAAAAAAACGTTATAGTGTAGTAAGGCATAAAAATGGCAAAAAACGTCATAGTATAGTAAGGCATAAAAACGTCATAGTATAGGAAGGCATAAAAATGCAAAAAAACGTTATAGTATAGTAAGGCATAAAAATGGCAAAAAACGTCATAGTATAGTAAGGCATAA